CTTATTAATATTCATATTTATATACTAAGGAGATTAGCTTTTGGTCCATCATATGCTGTTGCAAATGTTTTTTGCTAGGTTATCATTTATCTTTAAATGTTATTTATGGCATCTTTTTCTTGCAGAGATGTTTGTTCTTTATATAGTCAAATTCATCATTTTTTCCTTTTTAGTGTCTAAGCACCAGGTGACCTCATCATGGATGAGGCTACAATGCCTAGGAGCTGTATCATTTTTGTTTGTTTGTTAAACTATCTCAAGATGTAGAAAATCTGGCAAAAATATTCATAAAAATCTTTATTCTGGGGCACCAATAAGCAATAACAACATCTTTCCTGGAATTCTGTCTTGAAGACCATTGTTAATATTTTTGAGGTTCTTCAAGACAGCATGATAACATATGGACGTTGCCTCTAGAAATGGTGCTGTGAATGTTTAGGACTCCCCTTCCCCCTTCGTTGGGAAGTGGCTACTTAACATTTAAAAGAGTGCAAAGAGGCAGCTGTGGAATAAACTAGCAAGTGTGCTCCTTGACTCAAAAATAATAACCACACCTCTTCTTGTATAGTGATATCTCATAGTGATGACATTCTACCACTCAAATGAAATATTTATCTGGTGATTATACAATCTGATTTGCATGAAAATGCTAGACAACCAGGGATTACTGTCTCCATTTTGCAGATATGAAAATTAGGAGAGGCAGCGGCTTGTCCAAGCTCACACAGCTACCCATCAGCAGAGGGGGCTAGGACTTGGGGCATTTGATCGTAGATAAAAAGTTACTTAAGACTCTATAGTCATCTTTCTGGCTCAGCTCACTATTTTTCTTCCTGTTACTGAAACACTTCACCACCCGAGTAGAAACTGCGCCATGGAACCAGCCTCACAAGCATGTCGTGCTTAGGTTAGTGCATGCAAAAAGGAACGTAAGGCTCTGTTTCTTCCCCTGATAGCACCTTTTGGGAGCAGAGCTGTACTGGATCCACACCATCAGACGGCATGAGAGCACCAGCTGATTTGTGCTCAAGTTCACTGGCCCTTATAGAACAGAACTGCAGGAAAACTGACCACAGAGTTCTCTCTATGTTATGAAGGACCCTCGTATTTGCAGTACCTCCCTACAGATTCACATTTACAGTTTCAACTGATCACAAGCCTCTGCGGGATCTCACTTCGTCCAAGGATGGGCTGCCATTCTAAATTATGGCACCAAAGGTACAGTCCCAAGTCTTTTGTTCGGAGCCTATGGCTATGAACTGGTCTGCTCACCAAGAAGAATCATGATGAAAGAAGGTGTCCTGAGCTATTGCTGCTATTCGGTACTATTGCAGGTATCCAGCACTACTGATAATTTTGACAGTATAACTTCTTGTCATTGGTGGGAGGGAGGAGCCATCCTGTATAGAATGGTTAGCAGCACGTGGCATGATTTCTCTACCCACCCGATGTCAGTAGCAACCCCCTTCCCCCATTATGACAACAAAAAATGTCTCCAGACATTGTCAAATGTCCCCTGGGAACAAGATCACCTTCAGCTGAGAGGCCTGATACAGGGTCTTAATACATTCTGCCAAATTCCTGAAAAGAACTTTGACTTTTGATTTCAAGTGATGGAACTATTATGTGAGATCTCAGATTGGCTCATTGCTCAAAATGAATGGAAAATAAATGACTAATAGAAAGACTCTCTGAATGTACCAAATTACAATTAAAGTTTGCAAACAACTATCTTGAGCTATCTGCTTAGAAAAAGTGTCTTTACTTATCAACTCTTTGGGCAGAGTAAGGATATCAGATGAAGAGGATTAAGTTGGTCATGGCCCTTCCAAGGGAGAAAGCTCAGCTGTGGTAAACTTGACTTCATTCTAACTTTAAGCACATTTAACTCCATCCTAAACCCCTATGGCAACAACATAGCTCAGCACCTGTCATTCTTTCACACAATCTGCTAGACGCAGTTGTTTCTGACAATGCACTGGTCTTCATTTCCCATGGTGTAATCCACAGGCCACAGCCTTGGAAGGAGCCTTAGATCTAGATCAACCATTTGCTCTCATTTTACACACACCTGAAAATCCCTGTGGTGGCTGCCTCATCACCCTTGAGCAGATGATGCTGCCAAAAACGGAGAGAGCTTGAATCAGACGAGAGGCTAACACAGCTTTCTCCTAATTGGCTTCATCACTCCATTTTCAGTAGAGGTTGGCCCTGTCGAGTGTTCATGGTAGCATCTCAAGGCTCACAATGATCTCATCCATTCCAAATCAGATAGGGACCCAGAGGAAGTACCCACTCATAACTCCTGTATCCCAAAAGGCTCATCCCTACCCAAGACTAGTACATCTGCACAGAGGTCCCATGAAGTCCTGGGACCTTAGTGCAGTCTGACCCATCAGAGGCTCTGAGTGGGTGACCAAAAACACCGCTCCCTTTCACACATGTCCAGGGTGACTAACACTCGTGGTAGAAATGAGTGAACTGAAAAGTCCCACAGGAACCTCAAACCCAACACGTCCAAAATGGAACTTCTCAGCATCTCCTCCAAACTCACTCTCCTCTTACAGTAGTAACCCCTGTACAGGTTAGTGAACAACCTCCATCCAGCCATTCTCAGCACCTTCCTGCCCCTCACACCTGAGGAGTTACCAAGCCTTGGCCCCTCCCCATCCTGAGGCTCCCTCTTGTCCACCCTCGGGTCTCCATCCTGAACGGGGCCATGGAAATGCCTTCCTGCTTCTGACCCCTGGGATCCATCCTCCATACTGCTGCTGAAAAATCTCTTTATCATACAAATCTAACCATATCTCCTGCCTAAAACCTAGAAGGCGCCCCACCGCCCTCAGCAGAATGTACACTCCTTAGCATGGAATCCAGTCCCCTCAAGGCTCAGCCCCATCACCCTCTCCCACCTCACACCCGGATAGCATGACCCATAGATGGCCACCCCCCTTTACCTTCCCTGACTGTGCTTCTGATCTCTGTTCCTCCAACCTAGGACCCGCACCCCATCCTACTGGAAGCAGTCTAATGCCCACTCACCCTTCGGCACTCAGGTCGCAGTCCCCCTGCTTCATTGGGATCCTTTGCTGCTTCCTCACCCCCATCGCTCCTGCTGAGGTGTCCTCTCTCTGGCTTCTCCTCCCAGGACCCTGTGCAACCATTGCGCTAAATTGTAACGATTCTCTCCTGGACATTGTAGGAAACTGGATTCTCTAAGAGAGTTGTTACTGCATAGCCAGTCTGGCTTCATCTCTTTTCATCTTTGAGATGGTACCCGTGAACAAAGCACACTGAGTCAGATTTGGTGTGGGAGTGCCCCAGCGTGACCTGTTCACTGCTGAATGCCCAGCACCTGGCACACTGTCGGCCTGGCGAACCGTGGATCATCTGAATAAATAAATGCTGAATGAATGATTTCCTCACCCCCATCCAGAAGGAGGCGGGAGTCACAATCAGGGCACATCCTGGATATAGATGGAGAGGGCGTGCCAATGCTCGGCGCTCCCGGGAGAGGGCGCTGCAGGGCGGCGGGGCGGGATAGCTGGGGGCGGGGGGCGTCCGAGGATGGAGGGCAAAGTGTCGGGCTTGCCCGGGGACCCTGCGCCGCGACTTTGCGCGAAATTTTACTTTCGTTTTGGGCCAGGCAGGAGGCGGCGGGGCCGTCCCGGAACGACTGCGGCCGGGCGCCCATAGAGTTAATCCGAAAGCGCCGCAAGCCCCGCGGGCCAGACTCCACGTGTCACCGAGAAGCTGATGTAGAGAGAGACAGAGAGAAAGAAAGCAAGAGACCAGAGTCCCGGGAAAGTCCTGCCGCGCCTCAGGCAATTATAAAAAATGTGACCCTCTGGGTCAGCCTCCCAACCACAGCCCTCACCTGCGGCGTCCGTCCGTCTGCGTCCGACTGCCAGCTCGGTGTCCCCGCAGCGCCGCTCAGCATGTGCCCACCGCGCAGTGAGTAACAGCCCGAGACTCGCGCTCGGCGCTCGGGTGGGGAGGGGCGGGGAAGAGGAGGCAGAAACTTGGGGCCGGCTGTGCGGAGACTGGAAGAGGGTCGGCAATCCCGTGCAGAGGAGAAGGAAACGGGGAAGGACTGCGTGCTGACCATGCGCTCCACAGGACGTTGTCTCTTTTAATCTTGAAATTGCGCCGTGAGTTAAGTATTTTGCCCACTTCACAGATGAGAAGCTGAGGTCTGCTCAGATGTTTTCTTGCCCAGGGTCCCTCAGCTCCAGTTCTAAAAGGGTAGATCCTAGCCGGCTTCAAAATGAGGCTGTCTCCAAAACACGGGGTGGTGAGTCTGGGCCATTCGCTTCACCCCTGGCCTCAGTTTCCCACCTCTTGAAATGGAGACTTTTTCTGGGTGAGCTCTGTCCAACACCCTTGTCCGAACCCACAAGGAAGCCGTCACAGTGAGTTGGCTTCCACTCCTAGAACAGAGCGCTGCCCTCCAAGAACCTGATTCATCTCTCAGATGTTGAAGGAGGTTGGAAAGGGGTGGAGGGATTTTGGTGCCCAGAAGTGGATGAGTGGAAATGGCCAGAACAGATGGAAGGTAGAGGCAGACCAGTTCAGCCTGCCGCTTGATTCCCTTCCAGGCCTCTTCCTCATGGCCACCCTGGTCTTCCTAAATCACCTGGACCACCTCAGTTTGGCCAGGAGCCTCCCCACAACCACAGCGGGCCCAGGAATGTTCCAGTGCCTCAGCCACTCCCAAAACCTGCTCAGGGCCGTCAGCGACACACTTCAGAAGGTGAGCTTTTCAACATCTTTGCTCCCACTTTGCAGCCTCTCTGGTGAAGGGGCATCTCCGAACCCCTGGTCGCCTGAAGAAACCGCCGGCAAATTGTGGAAGTTAATCAGGAGCTGTCAAGAGAGGAACAGGGAACTTTACAAATGGTCCAACTATTAGCTAAAGCGTCTCAATGAAATTGTGTCTCCAGAGAAGGCAGGGGTGGTAATAAATTATAATAACATTCATTTTGGCTGTGTCTACGCAGAGGAAAGTGGATATTTACAGTGTTCCCTGTAGCCTGCCAACTCAGATGGAATTGTGTCAGGCCCACACTGTTTCTCTGACACACTTATCAATTCAGGAAACTGTTATTAGGGGCGGCCTCTGTGCTCAGGGGCTACAGAGATGAATTAGCCTTGCCCCTCACACTCCTGGCCAGCCTTCAGTCTGGTGACTCAGTTCGTTGTTGGAGCAACACATTTCAGAAAACTTGTGATCGGTGCATGGCCAGGCTTCATTCTCTAGGGAGAGAGTTTTCTAATTTTATTTACAGCTTCAGCCATTTTTTTAGCTTTCATATTTTAATGCAAAAAATTTTTTTTGCCTTTTAAAAGCACTCCAACATCTCTTGCTTTTGCTGCAATTGCCAAAGACTGATGTTTGAAAAGATGTCCTTTTGCCTTCCTGCTTCCTAGTAAATCTTTCTAGAATACTTCTATCTTGTTGCTTTATGAATATCTTAAAGTAAGCTCAGTGCCATGAGTCCTTCTTAAAGAACTTTTTTCCCCCTTCTAATCTTTCATAATGGGCTGCCAGTTGCTCCTTCAGTTCAATCAATCTTAATTAAAAAGGCAGCTCACCAACTGGAAACTGCAGAGATAAACGCTTTGATTCCTGAAGAAAGGTTCAAGATGGATAAAATCTAGCAGCTCCGATTTACGTAGATGCTTTAAGTGAAAAAGCTGACTCTTCTACTCCCAGATGCAGCACCAAAGGTCAAAAGATTGCAGAACTCAATTTGATTTTTTAAAAATTTGATTCGTGTGTCAGATGTGCCAGAACACATCAGCTGGCTGCTGCACAGAAAACAGACGTAGCAAATGCATGAGATTCGCAGGCCAGATCCAGCCCACAGATCTGTAGAGTTTGGTCCATGTCGTTTGTATTTCATTTTGATGTTTGAGTTGGATGCCATTGAAAAAAATAGACCTTTCATATAAGAATCCAGTTTTCCAGCTTCTCTTGAAAAGACCTGAAGAACTATAACAGCGGGCCCAAATTTCCAAGTCTAACTTTTTACAACCTGCTCAGGATAGTGGCTGCCTCGGTCTGCTAAAACCCCTCCAGAAACAGTGTATTCATTTTCTATCATTGTTGTAACAAGTGACTACAAACTAAGTGGCTTTAAACCACACAAATGTATTATCTTACAGCCTTGGAGGCCAAAAATCCAAAATGTGTCTCACTGGGCTAAAATCAAGGTGTCAACAGAGCTGTATCCCTTTCTGGAGGCTGTAGGGGACAATTCATTTTCTTGCCTCCTCCAGCTTGTAGAGGGGGCCCCTTCCATCTTCAAAGCCAACAGATGAGTCTTGTGCTGCATCACTCTGACCTTAACTCTACTGCCCCCCCTTCCACTTATAAGGACCGAGTGATTACACTGGACCCACCCAGATACTCCCAGATAACCTCTTTATTTTAAAGTCAGCTGGTCAGCAACCTTAATTTCATCAGCGACCTGAATTCCCCTTTGCCCTGTAATGTAATGGACCCCCAGGTTCCAGGGATGGGCGGTGGCTGTCTTTGGGTGGGGGCGCTGTTCTGCCTGCCACACACGGGGATCTGACCGCTTGTTCCCCAGCATGTTCTGTACTCTCAAGCCTTGACTCATGGCTTCCCTCTGCCTGAAATTCCCCCTCCTGCCTGTCAACATTCTAATCCTGTGGGTGCAGATATCCCATCTCTGGGGACGCCCTTGCCTCCTTCTCCACCACCTTCTCAGAGCCCTCTGACCCTTCTCAGCCCCCCTCACCTGCCAGCTTGTCTCCTAGTCACTTGGGTGCTTGGCTGTCTCCACTGCTGAACTTGGAATCCTGGGGGCGCATAACATCATCTCCTTCCTTGTCACATTCCTTAGTACCCAGCGTAGTGCCTGGCACACATCAGGCTTCTTGAATGGAAAAATGGTCTTGATCTTCAGTCAAAAAGTCATCAACTTCTTAAGAGAAATTTCTTAATTATATTCAACAATGCTTTCCAACATGCTTGTAAGACAATTATCTCTGTGTGTGTTTGTGTGTCTGCTGCACATTAAATCTCCACCTGTCTTTAGGGTTGCCTGTTTGTTATATCCATCAAGTAGTGGCCTTAACAGTCCCCCTGCAGAAATTATACTTGAAGAAGGTATTCATAAAACACAGGCGCTTTGGCAAAAGGAAAACAACAGTTTTCACCAGAAGCAAGTGCCACCGCGTGGTGTAGATGCTGGTTAGCACAGCCTGTTGAAATGATTTATAGTGTTTACATAATGGAAAAACATTGTCCACAGAAACATGTCCTAAACAAAAGGAGAGGAGGGAGGGAGGCAGGGAGGGAGAGAGACTGTAAATGACCTGTTGTCTGATGAAAACCCTGAATTTCCTACAAGTCAGAGATGGAGTCAAGGGCAGCGGGCACTCTGGCGCCCCCCCCCTCATGGGGAGCCGGATGCCATATTAACTGTTACCATAAACTGGGTTTCTCTTTATGTTTCACAGGCCAGACAAACCCTAGAATTTTACTCTTGCACTTCTGAAGAGATTGACCATGAAGATATCACCAAAGATAAAACCAGCACAGTGGAGGCCTGCTTACCACTGGAATTAGCCACGGTATAAAGGATTTTCCTCCCAAAGCTTGTAATACAGTTAAGAGCTGTGCATCAGACCTCATCTTCTTCTGAAACTGTGCATGCTTCTGGGGTCCATCATCATGGGACTTTAACAGGTCCCACAGCAGAAGTTTGATTTGAAAAAAATAAATGTATACAAAAAACAGATGTGGGGGGAGGGTATAGCTCAGTGGTATAGCATGTGCTTAGCATGCACGAGGTCCTGGGTTCAATCCCCAGTACCTCTATTAATAAATAAATAAATAAACCTTATTACTTCCCCTACCCGCCCCAAATAAATTAATTTAAAAAACAGGTGTGGTTTTCCAGAACAGTGTGAATATACTTAACAGTATTGACCTGTACTCTTAAAAATAGTTAAGATGGTAAATTTTATGTGTATTTTTTTACCAGGAGAAAAAAAATACATATGTTTGAGAAGAAAAGTCAGAAAAATTTATATTAAGAGTTAATGTCTTTGATGTGTGATTTTCTTTCTCTAGAATGAGAGTTGCCTGGCTTCCAGAGAGACCTCTTTAATAACTGTAAGTAAAAACATTAAATAGGTTTCAGTTCACATTATGAATTCATGCCGTTGATATATAATTATTTCTTTCTTCTAGCATGGGAGTTGCCTGGCTTCCGGAAAGACCTCTTTTATGACGGTAAAACATAAAACTCTTTCCTCAAAAGCAATGGTAGGGGAAGGAGGGGGTGGGGCACATTTTTGGCCCATCTCAATGGTTCTGTCCTCATTTTGTCATGTTACACAGACCCTGTGCCTTAGCAGCATCTATGAGGACTTGAAGATGTACCATATGGAGTTCCAGGCCATGAATGCAAAGCTTCTGATGGACCCTAAGAGGCAGATCTTTCTGGATCAGAACATGCTGGTAGCCATTGCTGAGCTGATGCAGGTAAGGCCTCTTCCCATCAATGAGAATGCCTTCCTGCTGAGGCAGCCAGCGGGGTCCCTGATGAAGGGGTATATAATCAGCCCTTCTGGGAGTGGGGGAGGCCTGAAATGCCCCCTTCTAAAGCCAGCTCCACTTTGGGGGAGACAGACTTGAGGGCGCCCCCTAGAGAGAGGGCAGCATGAGCCGGTCACATTAAGAAGAGTAGCCTCCTGTTTGTTGACCACGTGGTCTACACCAGGCTCTCAGCAAAGGTCTTCATACATTTCCTTATGTGGTCCCTGCAGCAACCACATGGGGTCTATACAAAGGAGGAAACCCACGCTTAGAGGGTTAGCGCCTTGTCTGAGGTCCCATAGCTTGTAAATGGTGGAGCCAGGATTTAAACCCCCATCAAAGGGATTCCACTACCCTCCTCTAAAGTCTGTAAAATGTGGATGTGAGGGGCTGGCATGCATGTCTGCAAACACTGCTAGAGAAAATAAGCGGGGCTAGTGCCTGGGTATGAGCCATCCTGAACCAAAATGTCCATGAAATCAAAGAATGGCCTATCACCTCCACGATGTTACTCATAGACAAGAACTTGCTTTGTAATTTTCTGAATCACAATAGCACATGATGCAAATATACCACATAGAAATAGTCACTTAAGGAAGAGCAGAGTAAGTACTATAGTGGCCAGAGCATGGGATAAAAATCTGGTGTCAAAAATTATTGTCTAAAAAGAAATTTATTTTTATTTCATTCACTTTTTATCATTGTTGCTCCAAATCTTGTTTGAAAGGCAGTGAACGTCATGTTAAGTATCAAAGAATGTCACCAGCTGGAGTTGTAGATGACATTTCATTTTCAGGACTGAGAGTGGAATCAGTTCTACCAGTAATCAGACAACTATGCCCAGACCATTTGCCCCTCAATTTCTTCCTCTTTAAAATGACTTTCTCCACCCTACCTTTCTTTTAGGCTTTTTGTGAGGAACAAGCAGAAGTACTAATCATTGTGCAAATATGGGGTCTTGCATTGTGTTATCAAAGTAAAGGGCTAAAGCTGGGAGACTTGTTGCCAGGTCACATGAATGGGTGTCTTTAGTCAACAGGTCTGATACTGACAGAGTTTCCAGTCAATAGCAATCCATCACCTTCCTGTTCTAAAAAGGTCGTAGCTTCTTAATGTGACATATAAAAATTAATTAGATACCACAGCAGATGTCATCTTAACAGAATCGTTCCTTTCTAAAATGCAACTCCCACTGATGATTTTCTAAATAGCTCTAAGGGTCTTTTCAGAGCTTGCAGAAGATACATGTGCTTGGATAATGAGTATTTCTTCTCTCAGGTTCTGCCTGGCCATCTGGCTGGGAGTAGATTTGTGCTGGGTTCAGGAGATGTAATGAGGGAGTGGGTTGCAGGCTCTGAGACATGTATTGGCTTCACCCATTTTTACGGATGAACGTTTTGATTTCAGAATACTGTCTATGTCACATGCGATGTTTATCCTCCTAGGCTCTGAATGTCAGCGGTGAGACTGTGCCGCAGAAACCCTCCCTGGAAGAACCGGATTTTTATAAGACCAAAGTCAAGCTCTGCATACTTCTTCACGCCTTCAGAATTCGTGCAGTGACCATCGACAGAATGATGAGCTATCTGAATTCTTCCTAGACATTGGAGGTCTCTCCCAGCCTTAGTCATTTTTATAAAAATCGGAACCACAGAAATGCTAAAGGGTGTGGGTTAAGATCTGGGGTGGGGGTGGCTGGACCTGGTCCCATTTAGGCTGGTGCAGGAGTTCTCATGCTTGTCTACATCGGTCAGCATCCCAAATGTGAAGGGTGTGACCGTTCTACCCCCGTAATTCCTTTGACCGAATATATTTCATATTTCCTAGGGGTAAGTTTTTATGAGCAAATTACTAAGAAGGGGAAATGTCCTCAAAGGGCATGTTTTTCTTTTTTTTTCCTTTAATAGAAGAACAAGAATTTATAAGCTATTTCAGTACCCAAGTGTTTGTAGGAAAAAAACCACTCTAAGCATAATTTATTTTAAAATATTTATTTATATAATTTTGTGTTCATAAAAGCATGTGAACTAACTTATATTTATTTATGTCATATTTATTAAAATATTTATTGTCAAGTGGATTTGAGATATACCTTATGTTGTTCTCAAAATAAAACGACTGAGTTAAAGTAATTCTCGTGTTTTTCTAATGTGATTGGAATACTTTGAGTGTTATAATACACGTTGTGGGAAAACTAAAAACTGATAAAATTTGAACAGAATCACCTTGGAAAGAATGCAGCAATATCCATACCCGTTTCCTAGTTCCTTTTATTTTTTAATTGTAGTTTTTTCTTCCTTTTTTTTTAATTTGGGGGAAGGTAATTAGGTTTATTTATTTATTTATTTAATGGAGATACTGGGGATTGAACCCAGGACCTTGTGCATGCTAAGCACACGCTCTATCACTGAGCTATACCCCACCCTTTTTCTAGTTCCTTCAATCTCATATTTTAAAGGGAGACTCGTAAGACTTAGACCTGCCTTAATACTGAGGCCACTGAATGAATTATTTTTTGAAAGTGCACTTTATTATTTTTGTTCAACATCTGAATCTAAAAGTAAAATCCATAAAAATGTTTTTCCTTATTAACCACAGCTCCATAACATACTGTGCATTAGACAAATACATAGTAAAATCTTCCAACTGGGAAAAACATCGTTAAGAGGCCTTCTAGTTAAATTATTCTAATTTTTGTGACCCTTTGGGCCCTCAGGGGGAAGTTGTTTCTCAATTACAATAAGAAAAACTCTATTTGCTTTAAATTGTGTAGAATTTCTGTGAACCACTTGGATAATTGCCTTGCTTTGGCTTAAGAGATGTGTTTTTAATGACCCAAATATTAAATTCCATCTTTTTAACTCTTGAAACCACATGAATTTTAAGAGTCACCTGACAGAATGCCATGTAATTTTACCGCTCTGATAATCACATTCCTCCTTAATACGAAAAAGCCATAAGGAATGAACTCTTCAGACTCCGTCCCACCCCGGCTTTCCTCATGTGACTCCTCTCCCACCAGCTCTCAGTCCTTCTGTGACCTGTAGGGGGCGGTGCATGTGATCAGGCCCTCATCCGTGTGGAAACCCTAGTTTTTCAGTCTCACCTAATTTGATGTACAATTCGACAGAAGCTGGAACCCCTCACATTCCTCCTTTTCTTTAGGGATTCCTGCCCAAGCTTGAATGACCAGCAAGTGATTCAGACAGGAGCTTGTTGCCCTGAAGCATCAGGTTCAGGGTGAGAAATGCTTGATGGCTTGATGGGGCTGGGCTGCAGAGTTGCCACCACCCCCTCCCCGTGGATGGCACTTGTCTGTTGTCTGTGCCCAACAAGGAGAGGCAAGCCGACCGTCTAGGCTGTGGCCTGGGTTGATACAAAGGAAAGCAGGCGTCACTTTGGTTCTAGAAATTACCATGACATGTGCTGCAAAAACATGACTGGCCCAAGAAACAGCTTCACAACTAATCCCTTTCTTCACTACAAGGTCAGTTTTCCATTATTTTCTTTTCAGCCTGGGTCTGCAATTTCCATCTTGTGTGACATGACTACCTTGTTTTGACCTCTTCCTACCTGTTTCTTCCTCTAAGAGGTAAAGATAATACTAGACCCTGTCTCAAAGGCTCAGCACAAGTTTAAATGGAATAGTCCTGCAAAGCATCAGCATTGCACTGGGCACACAGAATGTACACGATAAACATGAGCAGTTTTTGAACATTATTAGCCTTTGGGTTTGGTGACCAGGACAAATTGGTTGAAACTTCTTTGCTATTTTCTTATCCGTGAAATACAGAAAACTGTAGCCCCTATTTCACAGTGCTGTTGTGAGGATTAAATGACAGGGCATCTAGTCAATGCTCAACAGCACTTTCTTTTAATTGTTACATTGTTTGCTTGAAGACCTCAGTGACGCCCTGTCCCTCCACGGCACTCAGCACATTGTGTGTTTTCAGCAGAGGAGGCCATCTGGTGTAAGACACGATGGCAAAAGGCAGGGCCCACACTCCTGGGCATATATCCAGAGGACACTCTGAATCAAAAAGATACATGCATCCCAATGTTCATAGCCACACTATTTACAATAGCCAAGACATGGAAGCAACCTGCGTCCATTGACTGATGACTGGATAAAGAAGTTGTGGTATATTTATACACTAGAATACTACTTAGCTATAAAAAAGAATACAATAATGCCATTTGCAGCAACATGGATGGACTGGGAGAAACCATGGAGATTGTTATTCGAAGTGAAGTAAGCCAGAAAGAGAAAGAAAAATACCATACGATACCACTTATATGTGGAATCTAAGGGAAAAAAAAGACATAAATGAACTTATTTACAAAACAGAAACAGACTCACAGACATAAAAAACAAACTTATTGTTACCAAGGGGAAAGGGGGTGGGAAGGGATAAATTGGGAGTTCGAGATTTGCAGATACTAACTACTATATACAAAATAGATAAACAAGTTTCTACTGTACAGCACAGGGAACTATATTCAATATCTTGTTGTAACCTATGATGAAAAAGAATATGAAAACAAATATATGCATGTATATGTATGACTGAAGTATTGTGCTGTACACCAGAAATTGACACAACATTGTAAACTGACTAGACTTCAATTAAAAAAATAAAAGCAGGGTCCTGTCTTCACAGAACAGAGAGTGGGAGCAAACTAAGTAAGTAGTAAGACTGAGGTCCCCCTAAAAATAGCTCCCAGTGCTAGCCTACTAGAGGCATTTGATAACAAATTACTTTTTAAAAAAGGAAATAAACAGTGAAAGTATTTCCCACACCTAAGAGTGACTGAATCAGAGAATTGACATGAAAAGCAGCAGCCCGTTTCCACACTAAGGGCCCAGAGCTTGGGGGAAAAGGGACAGTTCTGGGGAGTGGTCTCGGGGTATTGGACAACTCAGGAGAGGCACACGGGCCTCCGACATCCTAAGGAGGAAAGAAAACATGGAAACAAAAAGGGAGAAAACCGTCTTTGTCTGAGACCAGCACGGGCAGAAGCTGGAAGTCCCCTTGGCCATTTCACCCTGGGCCATGCAGTTGTTGTCCTTGTTTGAGGACAGTTGTTCCAGCTAGCACAATTTTGGCTTCCTAATTTAAGGCAAAGCGCATTACAATATTGCCATAGACTGAACGTTTGTGTTCCCCTAAAATGCATGTGTTGAAGCCCTGATCCCCAGTGGGATGGTATTAGATAGGGCCTTTGGGAGGTTAGGTCCTAAGTGTAGAGCCTTCATAATGGGATTAGTGGCCTCATATAAGCAGAAATTTGGCGAGATCTTCCCCCAACCCCCATGGGAGGACACAGTGACAAGGTGGCCTGCTGCAAACCAGGAAGAGAGCCCTCACCAGACACCAAACCCGCCGGCGCCCTGATCTGAGGCTTCCCAGCCTCCAGAACTGTGAGAGACCCACGTCTGCTGTTTAAGCAGCCAGTCCACGGTATTTTGTTGTCACAAATGGAGCTGAGAATTCTGTCTTAAATGAAAGGGGAAAAAAAACCAACCACAATTTTCAAACATTGAGTTGTATCAACTTTTTGGTTGCGATGTATTTGGTAAGAATGAGTCAAAAGCTTTATTTACACACATGTACCTTTGAGTATGATATTAAAATTATGAGTGTAAATTGAGACATGAATGTAACATCAAAGATAATACACTCACGTAACCTGTTTTAGACGCGACAGGAGCGAATGCTTACTCCCCGCTTACCAACGGCTGTGCACGTTTCTACAACTGTTTACCACAAATGCACAGAATCCTCCCAACAACTCTTCCCCTTTTTATAGAGGAAACAAGAAACCGTATAAGCTTGCACAATAAAGTGATAGACGATTTGAACCCAGGTGCCCTGCTTCCGGCCCGTGCACGCAACCACGGTACAATTTCACCTCTCGTGCTAAGGTCACAGCGAGTCAAGGGTCACTTTCGTCATCACCCTGCAAACAGCGTCACAGTTCTTTCTGCTCCCCCTCTCCCCCACACTCCCTTGTGAGAGCCTCAAATATAGGAAAAACCATGTTGCCCGTGTATGTGTGTTCTCAGGCCCTGGCACTCAAAAGTGGTAGAGAGGGAAAGGCAAATCTTCATGGGTTCCCATGTTTCTCATTTCTTTCCCTACTCCAGGAAAAATAAGAAAGTCTTTAGTATTTAAAAATCAAATTTTCCCAATTACCAAAAAAAGTTAACTGTAAAATGCACATGCTTGCTTGGCCAAAAACAATTACACATACTTAGAACAGAGGCAAATCCAAAATTCGTAAGCCTATTTTGTTTGGTTTTTGGCTTAAAACAAAGGTTAATTTCTTTATTTTTTTCAATTTTTAAATTGAAGTATAGTTGATTTACAATGTTGTGTTAGTTTCAGGTGTGCAGCAAAGTGATTCAGTTATACTTTTTTTCAGATTCTTTTCCATTATAGGTTATTACAAAATGTTGAATATAGTTCTCTGTGCTATACAGTAGGTCCCTGTTTATCTATTTTTTAAAATTTTTGTGGGGGATAGGTAATTAAAGTTCTATATTTATTTATTTTAATGGCAGCACCAGGGGACTGAACCCGGATCTCATGCACGCTAAGCACGCGCCCTACTGCTGAGCTATACCCAACTCCACCTCCCATTTTACATATAGTAGTGTGTATCTGTTCATCCCAGACTCCTAATTTATCCCTTCGCCTGCCTTCCCAAAGGTTTATTTCTTGCTCAAGGCACGTGCCCCTTGCGATCAGGTGGGGGCTCTGCAGTCACTGTCCTCCTCCGGAAGCCAGGCTCAGGGAGCACCGACTGTCAGCTGGCTGTCCTCACTGCCGAGGGCAAGCAGCACTGCAAGGCCTCCGCAAGCCTGCTGATTTAAACAGTTTGCATATTTGTGCTTTGGGATGATGTGATCCTTCAGAAGCATTGTACCATCAAAACGCACCACACTGGTGAACTGGAAAGAGGTTTACTTCCCAGGGCAGATGTCCTAGAAGAAAACTCCTGGACAGTAGCTCCAAGAGACCCAAGCGGTCGTTTCACCGGCTGGTTCCCACACTGCCCCTGACAGGAGCAGGTCAGGGGTCCAGCAGGCGCCCCGATAACCCATTAGCCCTCAGAAACCCTTGACCAGAGCAGCTCCACTGCTGAACGCTCTACCAATGCAGGTTCCAGGTGAGATTTCCTTTCACAAAAGGCTCCCACAGTTAAGGCAAAAACTGAACTCCCCCGAGCCCCCACGGCACTTAAGTTTTTACAAGTAAAAAAACCATCTGTTAGACTTCCCAATTTGCTATAAAGGCAAAGATCACCCTCCCCTCTTCTAAAGATCAAACTAGGAATGACATCATGATTGGAATAAACTGGATCTAAATGCACTGGCGGCTCCAGGCTGGCCCTCCCCGTCAGAAAGCAGGAAGAAGCCTGCACTCAGAATTCAACCCCGGGGCCTCTGTTTTCGTATCAGGAGCCACAGGGCGATTGTCAGAAATGCTCAAACCCTGGTACGTGGGCTGGAAAAGGCGCAATCCCAGCAGTGAGACCCGGGCTACCCGGGCGGGGGGGATCCCACCCATCAGCAAGCACTGCACTGCTTCTCCCCAGAAGGGACTTCCAGCGACGGTGACAGCCCGGGCCGACTGCTGAAAACCACTGTCTTCATGAGGACACGCTTACCAATCAGCAAATAGTGTGGCCTCTTCATAAAAAGGAGTGAAAACACACTTCCACATGACAAAGCAGGGGAGAAAGCTCGTCCCCCAAAGCATTTCAAAACAGTAACAAAATGTGTCCCAAACGTGCAGGAAAATCCCGCTACGGAGACGCTTTGGGTAAGCAACTAATAGGAATCCATCTGGTTTTAAATAAAAACGTACCTTCCCATAACCAGCAGGAGGAAAGTCTAAATCGTTCCTAGAGCGAGAAGGGTTCCCCTGTGTCTGTGCCAACTCCCAGGTTAGTCTGCCCGGGTTTACATGCGCTCAGCCTCAGTCCAAGAACCAGAGGACTGGGAGCAAAACTAACTCACGCCCAGACAGCCAAGGTAAGAGCAATCAAAGGATATGACGCTTTAAAAGTAATTTGTAAGTAAATAATAATAAAAAGAAATCACATGAGCACTGTACAGATGCGGATTTATTGTTCTTCCCTTTACCCACAGTAGGAAAAAGGTTGAAAATTGTTAGGAACCCACTTTATATCAAAGCACCTCTGAAACTATGCTTTTCTTTGGGAAACAACTTATAAAAAATAATAAACATTTAAAAATTTCAAAGTCCTTTAAGTATTTTACACTTCTAAGTGTTAAAAGTCTGTTTCCTAAAATACAGAACAATAAGAAAAAAAAAAAACTCATGAAGTGACACTGATTTGAATTCCACAGGATCCCTGACAATTAGAAATACATTCTTCCCTATAAAGTGAATTTGTTCTTCACAGGCGAAGCTATAAAGTACATTTCTCTGATTAATTCATTGAGATTTCATTTACTCTCCAGCTAATGTCTACAGAAGACTAATGGTAATTTATAGTTTCCTCAAATAAGTTAACAAAACATAGCCAAGATGTTAATCACCACATGCATGATTCTGGGAGAGTGACAATGTCTATACATACACAAAAAAAGAAATTTTACCCATTAACAAGAGCCAATGTGGCCCATTATTCCCTGGGACAAGTCCTCTTTAAGAAGAGATGAGAGTTTTCCCTTGGTCCCGGCTAAGGCTCTTTCTGAATGGCATTTCCACACCCCTACCCTCCCCAAAATAAATGATCCAGGGTCAAAGTCAAAAAATGCAGTGTCCAGCCCGGTGATTTCAGAAGGCTGATGAAACTTGCAGGGACTCTGATGATGGATCCAGAACTTCCCCAGTGAGATGAGGCCATCACTCCGAGCGTTTGCACCAACACTGATGGGGAGAGGATTACACTCCTTTCTAATCACTCTAGGACTCCGTAATGTGATTGGTTTCATGGTTCAACAGACCACTAGCGAGACTGGTTAGTACTGTGAGATACAGAAATCACTTCCCACATAAAAAGACATACTGCACCGGCAGCACGTGAGTGTCTGTCTGCGTGGGCGCCAGAAGCATAGGAACCTCTCTCGTTATTATGTCATTATGAAAAAAGCTAAACTAAATTGGTGCAATTTAAGTACTCCACTACTTAATTGCTAAAAATGTTTCAAACACTTGATATGAGTTTCATAGTTCACGGACTACAAAAGGAAAATTACCACATTTCTCACCTGACTGAGTTGAGTCATTTTAAGCACCCTTTACGGGTGGGGAAGCCAGGTGGGATGTGTGAACAGGAGGTGCAAAAAAATAAAAAAAAAACCCTTGATATTATAGAGGTTTTTTTCTTTCTTCGGGTTTCAAAATATTCCACATTCCCTTTGCCCCTGAATAATGTGAGCTGAGGGCGGCTGCCTGTGAAAGGAGCTACTCCCACAGGCTGTGAAGTTCCAGGTCCCATCAACTCTACATCCAATTACCATGGAAATGGTCTTTGCAGTTGAAAGTTCCCAAGGTTTCCTTTTCCAGCTCGTCTTCCAAACTTCACGTTTCCTGCAAGAAACCTAACAAAACAGAGAAACAAATTCAGGGATTCTTTGTTGGGGGTGCGGGGTGAGGTTCATGCTTTTAAAGAAAATCACTTGTCCATTTCAAAAAGGAACTCCTAGAAGTGGCTGGGTTTTCCTGAGCTGAAGATACCTATGCGGTTTTCAAAGGCTGTGGTTACAAGACACTGAAACATCCCGATAAAAATACAAAAATCAGCCAATTAACCAGATATTTCGGCTACATGAGGGCATCAAACACTGGTAAATTTTGGTGTTTGTTTGTTTGTTTGTTTTTAACTAAGAAGATTTTTTTTTCCTATTTAATTAGGGGATACTAAACTTTTAGGATCCTTTTTACTGTTAAAAACAAAGTCACAAATCCTTTTACAGTTTCATGTCAAGTGTCTGGTGAGGTCAGGAGCAGATAAAAACGAAAGAAAACAATAACAATACATTCTACAGGGTTTGGGAGGGAGTCAGAGCTCCAAGCCTTCCTCTGACGGACAAGGCTGTGATTATTCCTTATCACAGCACAGCAGCCATCGCTGTCAACAGGCAGACGTGCCTGTGTGTAAATTAGTAGATTTCCAAATGTGGGCCTCAGTGATTTACATAATTTCAACACATCTAAGAAAGAGAATAAAAAAAATTTGATACTGAAACTGGCTGTCCTATTTGCTTGCAGCTTCTGCACCCAAACTCTGGCGGAGGAGCTCAGAAAGCTCGCCCACCACGCTGGACAGCCTCCTGAGAGGTCAGCGCACGCTTGTACTTTTCGTTATAACCTTTTAGGGCACAGACACACTTTTGCGTGCTTTAAGGAATAAAAAGTCCGAATAGAATTCCAAATAAAAATCTCTCTGACTTGCCGAGACTTCTGAGAAGTAACACCACATTTGTTAATCGTGATAACAATATACAATAATCAAAGCTGTGAATTGGTTTGACCACGGGCATAACAATGTGCTAAGTCAAGCCACACAAAAAAAGAAGTGCTTAAAAACAAAGGAAGGAACCGTGCGGTTTTCTGGATCGAGACCAGAAACAACTCCGTCTAGCCCGCTCTGGGGCTCTGCTCTTCCCCTTTCCTTCTTGGCTACTGAAGGTTCACTAGTGCCACCCTGTGGCCTCCCCGAGCATTGCTTCAGCGCCACAGAAGGCCCAATGCGACCGGCTAGGTCTCCATTAGGGACATTATCTACCCCTTGCTGCGTCTCACTACCTGCCTGGAACTTTACCTGCATTACCTCTTTTCAGTCTCACAACAGGGCAGTGGGGTTTTACATCCATTTCACAGATAGGCACATAGAGGCTTAAAGTTAGGTAAAGAATTTGCTTAGTCATGGATATATTGTACAACACAGGGAAAATAGCCAAGACTTTATAACTATAAATGGAGTATAGCCTGTAAAAATTGTATATTTGTGCACCTTTAACTTATATAATTTTGTACATTAACTTCTCTTCAATTAAAAAAAAAGAATTTGCTTAGTCACAAACCTAGCCAGCACTTGAGATTTAAACGCTCCCTGACTCCACGCACAAACCACCTTTATTAAGATTATGGTAACCCACGTGCTTACTGATGCATTTGCAGAATTATGTGGACCCAAGCTTATAAATAAGCAAGCAACACATTCTATGGTAGAAATAGGCTATTTGCAAAGACACAGTTAGATTCCAAGTAAGTGGCTAATTAAAGATAATTTCCTGCTTACCTCTCAGCACATCTTGGACTTCAACCGAATCGACATTTTTCAAGCAGTTACATAAATTCTGAGCTGTGGCGTTACTCTGCTCCTTTTCTTGCCACTTCTTCAGCATCCGAAACTTATTCATTGTAACGTCTTCTTTCTTCTCCATGATAGCATCAATATCGCTAATTTTCAACTTCAGGTTGGCAATGGCGATTTTTACCCACTCCTGCCCCAGCTTCTCAGCAAGGCTTATCAGCTGAGTGTCTGTTAACAAGGCTTTAGTCTTTGCTCCGTCTAAAAGCAGATGAAGAATTCACAATGAAAATACATTCTCTTTATATGAAAAAAGAAACCACAATTCGAAAATTTAATAACTGCTTTTAAGATATATTTAAGTAACAAAAAAATTCTTGCTTTCCAAACTATTTTTAAAGACAGAAGGGAACAATTTCCTATAACATGAAACTGGGGCACAGTGCTTGCTCACAATGATAATTCAATAATTCAGGGAATGAAATTGTTTTACAAAGCAGCACAGATTAGGTTGGAGTTAAAAAAAAAATCAAGACACCGAAAATAATTTATGTGGCTCAAAAAGAAAAATATACAGCTGTTGCCCTTGCCCACCTCTGTGTCTTTAAGTGTTAAAGTCACATACAAAATGCTACCTTTAAGTGGTCACTAAAGAGGCAGGAAGGGAGATGACCTGCAGTCTCCGTTCTGCCATCTCCTGGCATTAGGGGGAAAAGCACAATCCACAGAAAAGTCACAGGAGGGTATCTGTACAATCTGTTGCTAAGAAACAGGGTCATAATCTTGGAAGGGTATACGTCTGCCAGTGCAAACTATTGGCTCCATAAAAATATTAGCCCTGTCGGTAAGACAGATTTTTACGTTCACGTGTTTTAGCTGGTTTGTGCTTTGGTGAAGCAAAGCTCACTGGCTGCTGAGTCTCCTTTAAGGATCCTCAAGGTCTTACAAACACTTGGAGGTGACAGCGGAAGGCAGAGAGAGGGAAGAGTCCCTTCTGCCCCTCTCCCATGACCACAACACTCCGCTCATCTACAGCCAACAGTCTATTCATGTGAACCAAACATATATATTAGACCCTAACCCACTTCACAGTTTCCTCTCCAGCCTTCTAGACTGGAGGATGGGTTCTTAAAGGGGGCCCCTGCCCTCTAGAGGTTTCCTGGTGCCTAGACGAGTGCACCTCTCAGCCTGCTGCCAGGAAAACTCCCCAGGGAGTCTATTAACACTGCCAGTCCTTGGGCTGTCCCCGAAACTACTGCATCAGACTCTTAACCTAAATTTAACAAGATCTCAAAGTGATTCTGTTAAGGTTGAGAGTTGCCCATATTTTTTAAATTTTTAAAATTTTTTACTTTTTAATGTTTTTAATTGAAGTATGGTCAGTTACAATGTGTTGGCTTCTGGTGTACAGCATAATGTCCCAGTCGTGCATATACATACATATATTCATCTGCATATTCTTTTTCATTAAAGATTATCACAAGATATTGAATATTATTTTATTTTTTTGAGGGGAAATCTTTTTTTGTAAGGGGGAGGTAATTAGGTTTTTATTTTACTATTTATTTATTTTAATAGACGTACTGAGGATTGAACCCAGGACCTTGTGTATGCTAGGCACGCACTCTACCACTGAGCTACACCCTCCCCACCACTGAGCTACACCCTTCCCAAGAGAGCTGACCATATTTTAAAAAGCAACATGGTGATATGCTGAGCCTGATACACCAAGATAGAGACTCAACAGCTCAAAACATGTTGCAGAAATGCCCAAACAAAAGTAAATCTTTATTAATTTATTTGACATCATACTGTCAACTCTAAAGTGGTTAGAAATCCTTAATCTTTCTAGGTAGCATCTGATCAGCTGAATTCTATTTCTAGCTACTTGCTATTGGAGCTAATTTCAAAACAGCCAAATAATTTCAAGAAAAAACACTTTTCCTATATATCAATTTAATACAAAATTGTGTCCCATTCAGTTGTAAATGAAAAAGTCCTGAGGATCTAATCTATAGCACGGTGATTCTACTTAATGATACTGTATTGCATACTTGAAACTTGCTCAAAGAGTAGGTTTTACGCATTCTCACTACCACCAAAAAAAAAGGTGGCTATGTGAGGTGGTAGATGTGCTAATTAACTTGATTGGTAAATATTTCACAATGTATACATTTATCAAAACATCACCTTTATACTTTAAATCTATACAATTTTATTTGTCAATTATATCTCAGTAAAACTGGAAAAATATTGTATCCCAATTTGGTTAAGTAAATTGGTTACGTTAAAATAACTGTTAAGTAAGTTGTTAAGGTAAAATAATTCCAGAGCCTCACTTATTCTGATGTTCACTTAATAAAAATAAAAAAATTGTCTCTAGTGACATGCAGTAAAATCAGACACATGTCGTCCTCACCACTGCCTGTTCTAGGAAGTGAAAGATCTTATTTTAGTCTATAGAGAGAGTTTATCTGCTTTTAGAGATTCACACTTTCTAACAATAGTAAAATAAAGAGTATTGTGTTGAAAAGATTTAATCGGGGAGTTACATGAGGCTCCCGAAGGCTTGAGACCTTGTCTCGTATAATTTGAGTCTGGGTTTTTAAAACTCAAATTTGTGAGTTCTGGACTTGAATTCTGAGGCACATACTCCATCTTCTGGCTCCTCAGAGCACCATTGTTACGTGTTTAAATCTCTATTGTATTTTCACAACTATCGAACTTTGGTCTCTGCCATTTAATTGGAAAAAATTAGGTTGAGTCTAGTCTCCAATAATTGAGCTGGCGGCTCCCTCCCCTAAATGTAGCTAATAACTGTGAAACTGGTGACTGCACACATGGACATTCATTATCTTCTGCATAAAAGGCTGCACGCTCAGTGCTATGGGAAATGCACAGATGGCCAGGCCGTGGTCCTGCCCCTAGGGGCTGCAGGAGCTTCCCCTCCTCCCGTTCTCATCCCACTGAGTGAAAGGGAGGAGCGGGCAGTCAAGCTGGAAAAGTAGGCTGGGGCAGACCAAAGGGGACCCTTACCCAGGCCTGAGAAGCTGGGACACAGGGAGAAGGTATCTGGGAGGCATATCTGGGATGTGTTCCAGGAAGACTGACCCGAGAAGCACATGTGCTGGATGAATGTCAAGGGGGGGAGACCAGGGAAAATGATTTAGAGCCACTGATGACATTTTTACAAACCTGAAGTGTCAATCTGCTTCATTCTTTTATCATAGACCACTTCATCAGGTAAGCTGCTACTCATTTTTCGACGCCTGTTACCTTTAAAACACAACAGCAACAAATTGGCTTTCCCTTATGGTTGTTAGTATCCACCCATCTTCAAAATGGATTTAAAAAAATCATCATACAAATAGAAACCATTGAAAATAGATTCAGAGGTTGTTTAGACGATCTAAGAGTTATGGAACACTTAACAGATCCTTGATGTTACCGTATTTGCACAGCAAAATTAAAATTCTAGTGGATGGAAAAAACAGAAGTTTAATGTCCAGTTATGAGCACTCACCACTTGTGCTGCTTTTCGAAATGTTCCGATTCCGATCTTGCTGAATCCAGTCACCTGTGAAAGTACCATAAGCATCAACTGGAAAAAGTGGTATGAAATTTGAATTAAAGCAATCGATTTGTGAAAACACGGAAGCCCTAGGGTCTTGGTAATCTCCCTAAAGTTCAAATATGAGTGTGGAGTTTTAACTTGGTACGTACGCAAATGCACTGGGCTTGGACTCTTGAGATAAATCACAAGGACTCCTTCCAACATGTCTTGTGAGACAAGTGTTTCCCAAACCTCAGTCGTCTGCGTACCACCGTCATGATACGTGCCCTGCCCACATGCCAGGTGAAATGTCACTTCTTCTGCGTTTCTTCAAATCTAGAACTACTGTGATCAGAACACTGGCATTGTGTGCAGGTGGACAGGGAAGCCATAAAAATAAACAGTTTAAGTTTATTTTTCTCCACGTGAAAGAATCTCATATATATATATATATATATATATATTAGCCTTCTGTAGTTTAGAAAACCCTGTACTTGGGGAATTCTTTCTGGATATTTCATTCTGACTGGACAGCACCTGCCCTATGTGAAATGCAGCGCCCGTTCTGACGTGCCGACGTCTCAAGAGGCCTTTGATAGGTCTCTGGAGTGAAGACGCCTGAAAAGTGATGAGCAGGTGCTGCTAACCAGTAGGATAGAGCCCCCAGATAATGCAGACCAGGGCCACCTTAGCATGCAGACTATGATTACACAAGGTTACAAAGAGGCCTTATAAAGTGGTCTCTAAAACTACCGAGAGAGAAATAATCAGTCTAGAAGAACATCAGTTGTTCGGGTGGTGACGTGTTAAATACCTACATTACTGTGGCATTTGCTGTGATTAAAAAGTAACATCTTTCAGGCTCACTTATTTGACAAATTAATGAATACCAAGAGAAAAATAATATAACCCCCAATGCAGAGTCCCGCCTAGGACTCTTTCCGGCTAAGTAACTGTAGTTTGGATGAAAGGCTAATTTAAGGGTGACAATAAGAATCACACCCATAGAAAAGCTTCCTGCTTGGACTAGGACAGAAATCCAAACCGATCTGACTGGGTGTGGCATCTGGAGGAGAAAGACGTGAGAGCAAATATGGGCTCTAGGCACCCGCTCTCTGGGGACTTGGACGGTGAGGGCCTGAGAACCCGAGCCGGCACTTCTGTCCCAGCGGCTGGGGCCTTCGTTTCTCTTAATTGAAGTTTGTCACGTCACAGTGATGGGATGGACGACTGCCCCGTCTGCCTGCCCACCTCCCCACCCCGCCCCGCCCTGCCCCAACCCCGCCAAACCAGAGTTTTAACTCAAGATACAAAACACGAAACACTCACACTCTCTCAGTTTTGCTTTCCATACAATTTCCTCGGAATCCATTTCCACCAAAAGTAACTTAAACTCCACCGGTTGCTCCAAATACACTTCAATATAACTTTTCAATTTTAAAAGTGAACCATCCACAAATTCAATTTCCTTTAAAAAAAGTAACATTCTTACATTTAAAAGTTGCACTAATGAACAACATAACATGTCAGATATAGAATAATGACCATTAAAAGGGTTAGTGCTTGCTGGACCACCCCACTGAAATCGTGACCTTGGAAATCCCACCACTCAATCACTTGTCCTCTTACTCTCTTCCTTCTAGACCTTCCCACTCTTACTCCAAACTGCACTTCTACCTTACTGAAGCTTCCTTTCTAGTCCCTTGGCCCCATCTGTCAGCTCCTTCCTCATTCTTCAGATGGAACGTGGGCTTACCCATCAGCCACCCTTTCCCAGGTGCTTTTAAACTCCTCACCATCCTCTCCTTAGATTGTGCTCCAATCTGCGACTGACTCAACATTCACAAAACTACGTGGAGGGTTTTACCCAAGTTCCTCATTGGACAAATCCTTTTATGACTATTTTATGGATAAAGAATCCCAGAGAAGCAAATGAACTTGCCCAAGTCCACATGCAGGAAGTGATGAAACTGGAATTTGAATCCACATCTTTTGACGCCAAAGTGTGAGCTCTTAACCTCTACACGGACTGCCTCCTCCCACCTCCTCTGCTCCTCTCCAGACTGGCTAGCAAGCCTGGCTGAGAAGTACATTCTTAAAAAATATCACTGAACTGCACTGGGCATCACCCCCAAACCGGTGGTCTTAACCTGTCCCCCTCTCTTTCTGCTCCAAGTCACTAGCATTATCCTCACAACCTTCCAGGGGTCACACACCAGGGTCCATAATGCTGAGACAACTCCTTCCCCTGGCCCCACTCCTCCCAAAGTCCTCCACGTTCCCATTCCCCGAAACCTCCCGGGGGCCTCCAGCCCAGCCGCACATTCCTGTCACCTCTCAGGCATCTGCAAACCCAGAGCAAACTTCCCCCATATGAAAAGTCTCCCTGGAAAAACCCACTGTACCTCCTGCCCATCTCTATAGTAATACCACATTACGTTAAAATTATTTCTTTGCATGAATGGAGTATTTCTCTCACTACACTGGCATCTTTGAGGGAAAAGACTGTGACTTACTAGGGGCGGCGGGATAGCTCAGCGGTAGAGCATATGCTTAGCATGCACCAGGTCCTGGGTTTAATCCCCAGTACCCCCACTGGAAAAAAAAAAAAGCCTGTGACTTACTTCTTTTTTAACTCTTAGCTCTCATCCCAGGCTGACTTGTATAGGCACTCCTGATCAATGTCAGTTAAACAAATCATTAATGGTATAAAACTGAAAAGAACACCTTATAGTTACACAGAGTGTTAAAAATTTTCAGAGTACCCCCAAACCATCACTTTATATGATCTTTACAGAAAACCTGGGAGATTATTCCCATCTTATAGGCCAGAGATTTGGTTGAGAGAGAGAGCACACAGTGAGTCGCAAAACACAGATTATTTAAACCCCCAGCTATCAACATCTTTTGTGAAAAAGAACTCCTTGGTCTCTTCCTGGACAGATTCACCTATTCAATAGGTATTATTCCCTCTCCTAGTGGTTCTTTAACTTGGCAACACATTACAGGCACCTGGGAGCTTTAATGAACCCAATGCCCAGGCCATTCCCAGACCAATTAAGTCAGCATCCCTGGAGGTGGGACTCAGGCCACAGAATTTTTTTTAAAAGCTCCCCACGGGATTCCATTGCAGCAAAGGCCAAGAATCACTGCTCTAAGCAAACTCTTCTCATTTAATTCCACTTCCCAGATAAGGCTGCAGTTTGCTTCTTGTGATTGCCTTGCTGTACCATCTGCCAGGGCTTGATCAGCTTGGGAAGGCCAAGAATTAACCTCTCAGATCCCAGTGGGAAGACAGCGGCTTTAGAAGCCAAAGGCAGTTGGGGCTCTGGGCCGAACTTCCCGCTGCCCGGGTACGTGGCCTGGGCAGACTGCCCGCCTGCATCAGTTTCCTCAGCCATGTTGCTGTAAGGCTTAAATAATTCATAGGGTGCGAAGAGACCCTTTAAAACCAGAAAGGAAGGTAATGGAAGACTGTCTGATCAACTCGACAGCTTGATCAGGGTTTGTGATTGCTTCTACAGGGCACTGGGTGCCTTGATGATACAATAAAACGATGCAACATGGACCCCACTGCAATTAGCTCTCTTGCCTCCCATCTTAACTTAATGGAATCAAAACATGTTTTCAACTTTTCATAAACTATAAAATAAACAGACAAACAAAAGGAGGCATACAAAGGAATTTGCACACAGAGGTCCAGGCTCGACAAGCTGTGGCATATATGCTCAGAGCACACCGTGAAAATAAGTTTTCAAAATAACCAAGTCATTTCTGAGAAATCAAAGTCCCTTACAAATGTCATGGTGTTTACAGGCAAATCTGATGACAATCTGTCCTCATAACTATTTTTCAAATGCCTTCCAGTAAGAAAAGCCCAATATCCCTTGTCGGCAACTCCTTTCCATCAACCTTTAATGCTCTGTGTGACTTCAAATTAAACTTAAGGTTTGTATTCCTTTGAAGCTAACACTGTTTGAAGAGTTTAATTAACAATTCAAGAAAATGGAAAACCTTTTGAAAGGGAAAGAGACTGGAGAGTCTATTTTTCCAATGACTGGAGCATCCTAAAATTCAACAGCATCTTTGAAATAAGCTACAAGATGAGAAAAACACAATTGCTTTCTTAGAAGGTGGGAAATAAAAAAATGAGAACAAAATACATTATTTGTAGTATCTGCAACACACCACAGCTAAGAGATCCACATCCCCGCTGCCCCTCTGAGCTGGTTTTAAGAGCCCTACCTCTGGGGTGATTTCGGCTTCCGGCTCACTGATCAGTCTGTACTTCTTCCCATTCTGCAACAACTTCAGGCAAACAGGAGGCTTGTCGACTTTCATGAATTTCTTAGAGGAGTGCTTTATAGACTTGGAAATATCCTAAAGGTGGAAACAGGTTTTGGTTTTGAAATCCATCAGCAACAACAGTAAGAAATGTCAGATTATAGGCAGGGCACGTGCCAGCCTGCATTATCTTCACTTCTGACTACAAAGTGACAGCCCTGAAGTAGCTTTCACAGTGCTCACAAGGGGGGAAAAAAGGCCACAGAGGCTTGAGGCGCCTTTGATCTGTACTTCAGGCTCCCAGATCGCCAAACATCTTTCTGCAAAAGCACTACGGCCAAAAGCAACCCTTCGACCCTGTGTGGCACCGACCATTTGCTCCTGAAGGATCTGAGTTCAGTTAGCACTAGCAGTGCACCTGTGGACAGAAGGCAGCTACTTTACTCTACAGGGTTCCAGCTTACTCAGTGTCTCTGTCCCACACTTTATATGTTTCCATCCTTATTTTCACAACTACCCCTTTGATGTGGGCCTACGGGGGACGCCGACTTTACATGTATTGTTCAAATGCCCCCAAGAGGTTAAAGTAAGCGTTGGCCCAGGCTCCCTTGGTAAAGCAGCTGTCACAGCTGAACACGAAATTTAGGTTTCCTGAGGCAGAATTCAAGGAAATCTTTCTCTACCTAGGGGGAAAAAAAATCAACCCATGAAGAAAAGTGTAAAAATAAAACATCAGCCAGGAAGGACATCCTGCCTTACCAGTGCCACGCTCCCCATTGTTCTGGCGGCAAACGTCTCTACGCATGCTGATATAATCAGCCCCCACCCCAGCTTCCTAGGAAGAGGGGTAAATCCCCTTTTAATAATTGAATTTACTTAAAAAAATATAAAGTTCATTAAACAACAGTACTTATTCCAAATCTATGCTAATTATACTTTAAATTATTCTCGTACCATTTTGAAGATTATTTTCCCAACTGAAAGTATTACCTTAATGAGATTACAGGAAGCATGTTTTACCTTCTTAGGAAGAAACTAAAAACCTATTACTTAAAGTTTTTATACTTTAATACATATGGCTAATTATAATCAGTATAACATTTTTAAACTGTGAAAATACTACAACCTAAGACCACTGGGAGTAGATCGTTTGATAGAGATTCTGTAACTCAAATTATAACTCTTAAATTAGCACACTTTATTACAGCTCTAATGCTCATTTAACTTCTGTCAAACCCTGATTTCAAATCTGAAAGTATAATTTTGTGCCACTGCTTTATCTGTTATATTTCAGCCGACCTCTAAGTCAGGCTATGAAAGGCGATTCGGTTCCCTTTGTTCTAAACAATACTGTTTGGAAAATGGGCTGAACGTCACAGCCCTATTCTGTGTTCTGGAAAACTGGTTCCATGGTGAATATCTAAACGCTTTCCCTCAGGCCAGGCTGCCTTAAACTCATGAGGTGCTTCATGAATATTTGTTGCTTCAAAACCCAGAATGTTGAACCCATGAACAATGGGTCAATTTTTTATTAAAAAATTGTTCTGCAGTGAGTTACCCTGAGAGGCCCATCTTACTGGTGGAGCTTTAGGCCCAGAAAAAACCTTCAGTCACCCTACCCTCGATGCCCAGTGCATCCCAGGGCCGGTGCTTCTCCAGCTCCACGTGCACACCAGTCACCTCTGAGTCTGCAGGGCTGGGTGGGGCTGAGACTTGGCACTGTAACGAGCTCCCTGCTGATGTCACCACTCCTGGCCCCTGGTCCCTGGTCCCCAGCAAAAAGGCTGTAGAAAACAGATGGCCTAGGCTGTCCACCAGGCGATCTCCTCCAAGGCCAGGACTGCTTGCCAGCCCCACCTCTGGAGAGCTCTTTCCCCATTTGTTATCTTCACAACACTGTTTACACGTACAAACAGTCATACTCCCTGGATCTGAGGACTCAGCACACACATACCAGGCACGGACTTTACGACCTCTGTGGGAGCACCAAATCAGACCTGCCGCTAAGGGGGGACACAAAGCAACAGGGACGGGACCCACCCAGATGTCGTGTCATGTCTGAAAACAAAGTATTCAACATTTAGTATTCATTTCATTGGCTTTACCTTGATGAAGGACTCATTATTGGTTGCTATGTACACTCGAAAAGACAAGGATGGATTATGGTCGATGGCTTTGTACAGAATCACGGCCCCGTGGTGGAACACTGTTTCTTCGCTTTGAATAACAGGTCCCACAGGAGAAAGAGAGCTCACGCGCCATTTGACATGGGTTGCAGAGTGGTCCACGGTATATTCTAACGAGGCCCCAGTGCTTTGAACATGTAAGACTTTGAACGTCATGTTGGTGTCGCAGTCTGTTAAAACATGAAGGTGAATCAGTGTTCCAGGCATTGTATGGGTTGCACACATTCTCTCTCTCTCTTTCTCTCACACACACATGCACAGATTAAACTGTTAGCAAACAAGTACTTACGACCCAAGCAGAGGGAATGTGGAAACTGAATGGAGGTAAGACAGGTAGGGTCACATTTAACATCAAACAAGGGTCCACCGACAACCCAGGGCTTAACAACCAGGTCCGCATATTTGCTCCAGGACAAGACACAATACTTGATGTCAACTTTTCTGTTAACTTCAAATATCAGACCAGTTTCCGTGCACTGGTAAACGCCCTCCGTGTCCACCTTCAGTCTGCATTGGACAGATAGAACACCTGTTCAGTCCTGCTGCTTGGGTAGGAGAGGACTTCTTGCAATTATTTGTTTTTAATTTCATTCAAAAGCACAAAGAGAACTCAATAACATTTTGAAGCAACATCAGTATCAAAGAAAACAATCCAAGGAATTACATAAAACGTGTGAAGTTAAGTTATGCTGTTTTGTGCTTCCCCTACTCAGGGTTATTTTTATATAGAAAATTAAAAGTATGAACAATATGTCATCTTCTGTATCCACAATGACTTACAAAAACTGTCCACGGGAAAGGAGCCTGGGGGTCACTGGTTCATTGTGTTTCTGGAGAAAAAGCACATATATGATATATAAGTAAATGTTGTTTCCTTATATCAAGCAAATTAAAGAATCATACTTTATAATTAAAAGAGACTTACATTTTCAGCTTTACAGTGTTCACAGTGAGATTGGATTTTATTAAATTCTAAATGATAGAGAAAAAGTTTTACTTATAGGAATGTGATTGGCATTTTCAGACAAAAAATGTTTAATAAATATATATGATATGACCAGATTACAAAATTCAAAGGTACAAGCCCCTTAGCAACAATATATAAAGGAATATTTTAAGTTCATACCTGAATTAAAATGATCTGTGGGCAATCCTTTATCCTCCCATTCTTCAACTGTGAAAGATACAATCATTCGTGAATTGGCACAAGTTAATCACAGGGTAAATCACCTAAGCCCCCACCTCCAGCTTCACAACCAACAGGAACTTTATTTAAACGTCTCCATCACTGGACTCAGAGACACATGACCTGTTATCATATTTGAGTCCTGTTGTAGGGCTGGGTGGGGCATGAAAACAAGCTTAAGTTTCCACGCAGCTCATTTTGGCACATAGGTCTTTAGCTGATCTTTTTATGTAGAAGCAACTCCTGTCTCACCATCCTTCAGCCTGATCCTCACATCCTCCTCCCACACCACAGGCACAGGGAGAACAGGATGGATCCGAGAAAACAAGATGGCAAGGGCACTGCCTCGCTCTTACCCTGAGTGGACGCCTCCTCGGTGGAAGACTCTCCTAGCTCCCCATCTGTGAAGACAAGAAGGGCTCAGGTGGTCATAGACAACCTCTTCACTGGTTACTCCTCACCTAGGCCAGCGTTCCATCTGGACAGCTGCAGCCCCCAAGGAGGAGTCCTTCATGGCGGCCCGGAGTTGGGACACCTAAGCTGGAGTCATTATCCCCAAGACAGTGACTGATCAGCATCAGCCCCCCAGGTGACTACCAAGTTAGAGATTAGCTTGGACTTAAGAGAGGAATTAACATCTGATTTTGGGCATATTTAAACCAGAACTATTTTGTAAGACTCTCTGACTTAACACGCAGACTCCTTCCGCTGGCTCCTCATTACTGCATCTCCCTGCACTTACCACCCTCCAGTCACTCTGAGCCATTCTCCACATGCTCCTGCCTCAGGGCCTTTGCACTGTCTCCTCAAAGAAATACTCACAACAGATATTCACGTTGCTCACTCCCTCACATCCTTGCAGTCTCTGCTCAAAGGTCACCTTATCAGAGAGGATTTCCTGACAGCAGGGCCTGCCTGACACATTCTCTTTCCCTTTCATTTCCTTCAGGGCACTCCCCACCACCTCACACACTATTTGGCTGAGTGTTTCTGATTCCTGTTTCTCTCCCCATTAGAATGTAAGCTTCATGAGGACTATAACCCCAGGGCCTGGTCAGTGTTCATTTTCTGAATGACTAGAATTCTACAAAATGAATTACGAAAGAGAACAGCAATGAATTTTCCTATTACCTGCATTGGCCACTAGCTCATGAGCTTGGGCTCTCTAGTTATGTACTAAATCTCTCTGTCCATTACTTTCCTCATCTATTAAATGGAGATTAGCATAATACCGCCCCTAGAAAGATAGAAAATTAAATTACAGGCGAGGATTGTGCCTGGCACTCAGCAAGCACTCAGTGAGTACTAGCGAACTGTTTTGAACTATTATTTTGCTAGGGCGATGGTGGGACTCATTAAAAAATTCAGGAATTCTAAAGTAAACAATAACCCTTCACACGGGGTAAAACCTAATGTGTTAAGTGTTTGGTTTTATATGTTAAAGATCTGAACAGCCTTTGGGAGGGTCAGGCATCTTCAACCCATGTAGAAGGTCCTAGGCCACCAACACCACCCAGAAGGTGCAGGCTCTCCCCCAGGATGGTGCTCCAGCCCCGGCTACACAAGCTGCCTGCTGTTAGCGCATTATACAGGGACCAGGGGTTGCAAGAGACAACCAGCTTTTAAAAAAACAGCATTAAGATGAAATGGCAAGTAGAGACTAAAAGTATTCAGAATTCTGGACTCAGAATACTATAAAGCAGAAGGTTCTGAAATACTGACCCAAGTCCTACACCACAAAATCCTTCAATCATATTTCCTCAGCCACTGTCCTAAAAAGCACCGTAAAATTCTAGATTATTTAATGGCTGTCATCTACACTGCACTGCATCCACATCCCATATTTCTGTGTCTTGCCCTTTGCCTTGGGAACAGAGAAAGGGAAAGAGGTTAGAGAATCCTAACCGCCCAGCAGACAGAGTCTACGGGTCTTCCCAGCAGAGGGACCGATGCAATTCTCTCCAACACATAAACGACAGCTTCTCTTTAATCCATACGAGAGAGGCAACCCCAAGCCCATGCCTATGAGTAGAAGGCATATCCAATCATGAGGATGATGGGTGGGCCTGCATCACCAGCCAGCCCAGAGAAGCAAGCGAGCCAGGGTGGTCTGCCTGGTCCTTCTATCAGACCTGCGAATGGAAGTGAATGGGGAGTGCCTCTTTGATCTCACCCCCAACACAGAGGGTAAAATGTCTTTTAACAAAGAGAATAAACTTGGGGGAAGGCAGGGCCCCTTGGATGCCCTCGGCTCCAAGGACAAGCATGCTCAGCCTACTCACTGTCACTGCCAAAGAACATCCAGGTGCCTAATTCGGCTGAGGCCAGGCTCAGCAAGTCCCTGCCCTGCATGTGCCCTGTCTCACCACACTGACCCCAGCCTCCCACCAATGCTGAGCCTGTCCTGAGCCTCACTGACTCAGAATGCCTTCCACCTGGGTGCTACCCTGGCGAGGACCTGGAAGCCCAGGCCTGGCTTCCAGGACCCTGAGGGCACTGCCTCTGGACTCTGTGTCCCTAGGGCCATTTACTCAGTTGTTAACCAGGGACAACAAAGACTGGATCCCAATACACAGCTTTCTGATTTCATTTCTATCCCAATCTAATCTACAGAGGCTGGACTCCTGATCACATTTTGCAAGATGAACTAATCCTTAATGTATAAAGCGGACTGGGAGGAGGGCTGGTGTACATTTTTACCTTATGGGTATCAGAATGTGACGTCTACTCCACAAGTGTGATACAGAAATAATTATAGGTTCTTATCAATACATAACATGATTGCAAGGAGCTTATAATTACCTTCTCGGGTTCCCCATTGGGAAACTGCAGAGAATTAGATTAAATACAAGACTTCTCAGTGAAGAGACTTCATTTATTTTAAAATATTACAAAGGCACCCTCTGACTGCCTTGCTATAGTATTTGTGTTCGTGGGCAGATCATATTCAAAGAACTGGGTGGGGGGAGGGGGTGGAATCCTACAGTAAAATAAACTCAGTTAAAATATAAGCTTAGTCACTCACTTTTTTTTAAGTTTTTCACAAAACTTTAGACCCGAATCAAATTTATATTTAGAATCCATGTCTCTGTGGTGGCTTCATACTCAAATGGTTCACAAACAGCCAGGACAGCAAGCCAAAAACTTTAAACCACAAATGGTAAAACACTTTCAGCAGCAAACTGTTCACCCTGTGATAAACTGTGAGCGGCGACCACTACGGAAGGAAGCCGAGGCTGTGGCCGTGGCAACACTGCAGATTTCGGCCTCTCTCAATCTCTTCTCCTCTGGGAACCCTCAGAGCAGAACAGCTCATGCAGAACCTCGGCATCAGTGCAGATCAAGAACACGCCCCTTGTATCCCAAGTGTACTGAACTCAAATTTTCAAAATGCTTATTCGTTTCCTAAAGCTTAACTCAATTTTCCATGAAAAAAGATCATGAAACAAGTAACTTGCAACTTAAAAATCTCAAAGGCTACCCTTCTTTCTTCCTTTCAACAACACAAAAGATGACAGAGGAAGGAAGGATACACTCACTTGTTTGTTTGGTTTTGGCTCCTCATTATCTACAAAAAAAAAGGGTCTAAATCAGATTCATGTGACAACTAAGAGAAAACACAGGCTAATGGGAGAGCAGGTAAAATGTTTGCCCCTCACCAATAGCAACCATTTCCTGTCTTTCTTCTTCAGCTCATCCTGTTTTGCCACTTTGCTTGCCAACCAGAAATTATTTACCATGTAAGTACTTTTTCAGTATTCCACACAAAAGACTCTGGCAATTAATGTGTCCTCAAGCAATATAACCGATGTGGCCATTACTTTAAAATAAAAATAAAGGTTTCTATGTTGACCTAGGATTCTGTAATTAAAGAAACACACACATAGATAACTCACCAGATTCGCTTTCAGAGCTGCTCTCAGAACTGCTGTCCTCGGCTAAAAAAGAGCATATGCCGGGAGAAGCACACAATGAAAAGGAAGTGGAAACTATTTTCTTAAATTATACACATAATAAAACAGATCCAAACTCAACTAACTTCTTCTTATAATCCGTTCTCATTGAGTCCAAATCTAGTCTGGTTTACAAAGAGGGCTTATCCTTCTTTGGAACTGAACAAAACGTAATTTAATCGTTTAAGTAAGAGCTCAAATCACACTCTGGCTGCAATAATCACTTTATTTGGGTGTCACCCAAGTCCCACCAGGGCTGATCTGCCTCCTGCTGCTCCCATCTTGCCCTGCACTTGTGCATCTAGGAGATTCCATGCACAAATTCAGTCATACAACAAGGCAGAATTCTGCAGTGTAAATGCCATTTCCCAAAGCAGAAGACAGTCTATATTGTTCAACTGCTTCTGGAAAGAGCGGTCCCCAGGAATGCTCCCCACCCTCCCACACCCCGACATCAGCACCTTCACCCACTGCAATCAGGCTTCTGTTCCCACAGAATTTGGAATCCTTTCTTTCATGGCCCCAAAGACGCGCTAACCGCGAGTCCCATGACTCCCCCAGGGAAAGACACGGACCACCCCCTCCTGCCCTCCAAGTGCCCTCCCTCCCCTGGTGTCTGTCCTGGTTCTCCTCCTGCCTCTCCAAGTGCCCTCCACGGGCCTTCCGCTCCTCTCCATCCCCGCACCCCCAACTACGAACACCTTGAGAGCCCTGGGTGGGGGGGCATGTCGACTTCCACCTCCAGGGCCGCCCTGGACCTGCCCTGGCCGACCAGAGACGCGCCCAGGTAGTCCGCCCGGCCAAGTTCACCCTCCACCCCGCGCCGCCACTGCTCCCCCAGCTTCACCGCACCCAGGCCCGGGGTTCCCTGAGTAAACACACAGAAAGCTATTGGTATTACCCTAACAGCTTCCCTCCCTACACACAACTGCTGACGACCAAAACCAAGGACGTGCAATACTTCCATGGAGGAATGAAAGGATTTGAGAATAAAAACGAGAACAGTAATATAGCAGCTAGTAGCAGTTTTCTCTGAGTGTTCACTGTGCCAGGAGCTGCACATATACTTACTCATTTACACGTATTCACTCATTTACATTTATTTACTCATTTTACATATATATACACACTTCACATATATTTATGCAAGAGCTTTACATACATTTACACACTAGCCCTCATGACTTCCCAGTGAGGTAAGCTGAGGTCAGTGAATTTACTTATGCAAGACCACCAGCACGCTACTATCCGCTGCCCAGGAAATCTGGGGCTAAGATTTCCACTTGGGCAGGCTGGCCCGAATTTGCACTCTTAACCGTGTTGTTACATTTGCAAACATGCTTCTTGTGACTTCAGCAATTCCAGGCCCAGGAGCTGGTGACTGTCTGGATGTGGAGGGAGAGGGGGAGCAGGAGGTAGGTTCCTGCATGAGAAGTGCCTGGGTGGAGGGCGAGGCCGTGCTTCTGTAGGAACAGGTGCTGGGAAATAAAGGCGATAAGACATGGCCTTGGTCCTGCAGGGCTGCAAGCAGAGAGCAGTGTTCTCAACCTTGGCTGCACACCGATATCACCTAGGGAGCTTTCTAAACACACCCCTGCCTGGGACTCGGCCCTTCCTTGGAAGTTTTGATTTAACTGATCTGGGGCAGGACCTGAACAGCAGTATATTCTTAAAAGTCCCCAGATGACAGAAAAGCACAGCCAGGGTTGAGAACCCCTGGACTAGAATCAACCCACTCCTTCCTCCAAGCCTTTACAGATGCCATCCCATTGCCTGGAAATCCTTCCCCCGGACTCCACCTCCAGAGCTCCTAGGTATCCAGTAAGAAGAGCCAGCCCAAAAGTCACTCCTGTTGACAATCTCCCTGTGCCCCACCGAGTCAGGCCAGCTGTGCCTCCTTTGTGTTCCATCCTGCCCCATTCACCCCTCCGCCAAACAGCTTGTTTAGCTGCTGGTCTGTGAGCCCGGGAGGACTGTCTCGTCACCTGACCCTCCGCCACCCGTCCCAACACAGATGCTCAATGAATGAATGAAAGTGTGCATGAATGAATGCTTTGCCCAGCTTTAAAGAACCACGCAGCCCCTACCAAGGCCCGTCTTTATTCTGTCGGTTCCCTCTGGCAGTCTGGGACCTCTGCAGGGCTGTAATTCTGCCTGGACCAGCCCCAGGTGAGGCCCACCCTCTGCCTCAGGTCCCTGGGAGATGGAGCCTGTCTGGGGCAACCGCTTCAAGTCACCTTCCCTCTGGTTGTGTGGAGATACGCTTCCACTTCTTTGGAGTATATAAGAGGAGAGGAACTGCTGGGTCAAATGGTAACTATGTGTAGCCACTTGAGGACTGGCAAACTGTGTCTCCAGGGGGCTGTGCCAGTCTACATTCTCATCAGCAATGAATGAGGGTTCCAATTTCTCCACATCCTTGTCAGCACTTGTTATCACCTCCCTTTTTCATTACAGCCATCCTAGCGGGTGTGAAGTAGTATCTTGCTGTGGTTTTGGTTTGTATTTCCTTGAAATATACGGAGCATCTTTCATGTGTTTTTTGGCCATTTGTACATCTTCTCTGGAGAATCCATTTTTTAATCCTATATAATCTAGCCCCCGCCTGTCTCTGCAGACACACTCTGGCCCCATCACCCTTCCCCTCACTCTCTCATCCCAGTCATCTGACCTTCAGTCTCTGCGAACAAGCACTTACACTCTCCCACATTCAGCCCTTTACACCTGTGAATCTTTTGAACTGAGACAACTCTTCTCCCCGCCTTTGCCCTGTGACCCCAGTTCCTCTTTCAGAGTTCAGTTCAACCATCACCTCCTCAGAGAAGCCTCCTGGGACCACCCCAGCCAAAGATAAATTCTCAGTTTCACTAAGTACCAAGTTTATCATCAAACTTTTTAAAGTCACTGATTTCACTAAGCTAGGTAATCATGAAAGCTTAAAATTTATTCAGCTCTTCCAAATAGAAAGATGAAAGTCCCTACCTTTCACTCAGATTGTTTGAAGTAAAACAATACTAAATAAATAAATAAATTGTAATTTACCTTGCTATGAATTGGTTATTTTGTAAAAATTTCATTTGGGCATTTATCAATATTAATCATACCCCTTACCTGATTTAGAGTCCTCTGAAGTATCTAGGTTGGGGCTAGGGCAATCTAAATTTTGAGAAAGAAATAAAGTTTAATAGGATAAACACAAGGATAAAATAGAATATTATGCTCATTTTTGTAAAAGCTAAGTCCCAAATAACAGAAGCCCCTTGTGCCATTCAACGACCACGTTAGACCCAAAGCAGTCTTGCATGTCAAACTGACGCCCCGTGAGCAATGGGAAACAACACCATAATCTCAGGGGAGACAAGATTTAGACAAAGAAACCTGAAGCCTTTTCCAATAGATGGCAAACAGAAAAGCCAACAAACTTCATTACATTTCGTTGGGTCCCTGGCAGTCTCTATTTTGTACCAAAGGAGTGGCATTGTTTCTTTGTTTGATCAACTCAGCAGCTCCCTAAAAACATCCCTGGCAATTAAGTAACTTGACACCAGAAAGGGAGAAAAAAAAAACCACCTGGTTTTAGATTTTGTAACTGAAAGGCAGACAGTGGTATTACTACACCAAAGAATCCATGTCCTCCCCAATCAACAGTCAATTCAGGAAAACAACTGTCAACAATTTAGTGAAATGACCCAAATGAGTTGACAGTAAGGACATGAAGTTGGCCAGATGAGTTGGGATCAGACCAGGGAGGACCTTGAATGCAATTAGGAAGAGCTGGACTGGGGGGATGGTTCTCCTACAGGCAATGACATGGAGACACAGAATTACATGAGCGCTTCAAGCTGGAGTGGGCCTTGGTGTTCCCCAAGATGTTGGTGGACACTGGGGGGTACTGATGATCAGGATGCACAAGACTTCAGAGAGCCTGGCATTAAGAGGCCACTGCAGAGATCCAGGTATGAAGTGGTGAGAGTCCAGGCCAGTGTGGGTGCCGGGGAAATGGAGACATTAGAGATAAAGGAGAAGAAGGGGTAACTCGCAGAGGTTACCAACAGTGTTAAATAGAGCAAGGGCATTCCTGTGCAGGGACGGACTGCTCCTCAGTTACCATACCCCTTGTCTGTTATTTATGTTCTGCTCAAGTAGACTGCTCTAGACCTGGACCTAGCACTCTTCCACTTGTTTGTCTGGAACATCCATCAACCCCCACTGGGCTGGTGAACAACAGAGGCTTAGTTACTGGTTGATTCCCCCAGGGCACAGAGACTACTGTCCCTTCAATTTAATGAACATTGACTTAGTGTCCACTGTGTGGTGGCCATTCTGTAGAAATTTGGAGAAAATCCACACTCCAGCAAAGAGTCTATGGGTTAATGAGATTGTGGGGATAAGGAGTAGCCATGCATTAGATAAAGAAAGAAATCAAGACAATACAAAATGAAGTGAGGCTGGTATTTTGCTGGTCCAAGAGAGAAGCTGAGACCACTCACTGAATGTGAGGGATTCAGCACTAGTCTTTGAATCTGGTTGATCTGAAACACACTTGGAAGTTAAATGTTGGGAAGGGAGAGGCATCTCAGCCAGACAGAAACAGGCAAAAGCAAAGAGAGGGATGAGGCAGGTTTAGGTCAGCATCGTGAAGCAGAAAGCCTGCCAGATCCAACCCCATTCGTGACAGATTCACGTCATCCCCTCACACCACACGTTCCAGACACACTTTACAAAAACTTTCATTAAATTTTCATCAGAATACTTTTCTTAGGCAGGTTGTCGTTATTCTGCTCTGGAAAAATGAACCACAGGAGGGATATGAAACTTGCAAAAGTAAGACAGTGGCCCAGAGACGAGCTGAGGAGTTTCTAAGCCACTCTGCAGCCAAGTGACACAGGTCAATGCCCAAAGTGACCTCAGAACCACCCTCCAGTAAGACACTGAGCTAGCTGTGCATGCAGTGCAGGATAAAGAGAACAAGCCAGAGCAAGAAATCCATCTCTACACACGGTTACAGACTTACCACACTCAAGCATTAAAGAAAAGACCTAGTCACTGTGCATGGAACGTTGATTGAATTCAGGTGACAATGCTTCTCTAATCTTACTTTACTGAATTTAAAATAAAGTTAAAAAGAACATTAGAACTAGAGTTTAAAAGGAGAGAGATGTAAGAGCATTTATTTTCTATTCTCAAGTTGTAAAAAACTACAAAGGCCCCACCCAATTCTTTACATTTCGCTTTGAATATCTCTTGAAAAGATAATTTTAGAGAAAATTCTGAAAAGTTGCCATTATTCCATCATCCTAACCTATTATTTCAACTCATTTCTATAAGTCGGTGAATGCCTGAATGCAGTAAAGCAATTGCAGCCAACATATAAAATGAATAAAGAAATCATTTTCTAAAGACACAAATGTTTCTCACAGTACAGGTTAAGATTTTGGATGACTCAGCACTGACTTGGAGTACCATACCTTTTTCTTCTGAAGAGGCACTGTGATCATCACTAGAACAAGAACAGAAAAACAGTTTTATAAATGGATACTAATTTTATACAAAATAATTATGAAAGTCTTCAAAATGATCATACTATGTTTCTCCAGAAATGTTGCCCGTTAAACAACGCTCTCCCTCCTCCTCCGCCTGCCCCTCTCATCTCCACCCGCGGCCTGATTCCAAACCACCCGGATAGATGGAACTTACCAAGCGTGCACTTGAACCCCTTCTTGCCCCGTCACACCCCCGGAAACGCCAGCACACACTTTCACAGTTTCACGATGTGGCACCTCCGTGGCCCGCCACGCGGCCTGGCTCTGCCGCGTCTTCTGCAATCCATCGTCGTCGCCCACTCGGCGCGGGCCTCCAGCCCCTCCCTCCACCCGGCTCCCTCTGCGCATCCCCCTCCGGCTCCCAGGTCTTCTCACCCGGCCCCTCCGGCCCCTGCGGCCCCTCCCCCAGATCCAGCGCGCCTGAGAAAGGAAGGGCTCCCGCAGCTCCCATTCAATTCAATGGGCGGCCCTTCCCTTGCCTACGGAACGTTCCATCCTCACGACCGACCACCTAGCCTCCTTTCGCCCTCCTCATGCTGGTCTCACAGGAGGGCCTACAGTCGCGGCTTCCCACTCCCCAGCCTCTCCCAGACCCTAAGCCACCTGGCTTCTGCTCTCTCACGTTACCAAAGGCACTCGAGAGAGAGCCATCTAGGACTGCTGCCCGACAGACCCATCGGGCCCTCTCCGTCCTTAGTGGCCGCTATCTCTTTAGATGAAGCAGGTGACAGGCTCCCCCATGGCTTCCAGTCCCTCTCACCTGGTCTGCTTCCCCCTCACCCCCTCCCCTGTCTCCATAGCCTCTCCCCTCTCCACGTGCCCCATCGGCCTCAGCCTCCCAGCAATGGATGTGTCCCAGAACCACTTCACTGCACCCTCCTCAGGCTGCCCCAGTGCTTGCTTTTCACGCCAAGGCTTCAGGTCCTAAATCTTTACCCCCTTCCCAGGCCTCTTCCCTGAGTCCCAGGTGCCCAAGGCCTGGGGGCACGGTGGGGACAGGGGGTCATGTCAACACTTTAAGTGAAATACAATCAACACTTAACTAATCACTGCCCCCCCTTTCCATGCAAACCTGCTCCTCCTGACCTGCCTTTGCAGAGAATCATATCACCAGGTCACCAGACTAGAACCTCCAAGTCATCACTAGGTCCTGCTTCCTCTTTCTCAGCAAGCAATCGTGTCCTCCTAAGCCTTCTCCTACACATTTCTCAAACCTGTCCCCTCCTCCAGGTCCACTATTTCTGCTTCAGTTCAAGCTCTCTCTGCCTCTCATCTGGCTGGCTGATTATATTCTCCTAATCACTGTCTTACTCTTGGTTTATCGGTTCATCCCCCATGTGACCTTGATTTGCATGAGCTGGTCATGTCTTTGCCGAGACCCCTTTGTGGCTTCTCACCACTTTCTGGCTGAAGCCTAAATTCCCTGGCTTGGCACCCAACGACCTCCACCTGGCTCCCTTGTTTCCCACTCTGTGTGCTTCCCCAGAGTGAAAGCTCTTCAGTGTCCCAAGGACACCCTGCATCACACACACACATAGACACATACACACACACTATTCTCTGAACCCTCCCCCGAAAAGGGTCACTGCCTGTGGCCTTGCAGGTCACGCATTCCAACCATGTGCACTCCATGGACATGTACTGTGATGTTGGGGTACCCCCTGGTGTTGTGTGTGCATATAAGTGACAGCCCTGCCCTCTCCCTTGATGCCCAAACTGCTAGTCATCCTTTATGAACAGCATTTCTCAAGGCATGGACTGAGGACATTAGAATTCCATAGGATGCCTTCTGAAAACTGTTTTTCTGGGCCCTCTGAATCAGAATCTTTGATGAATAAATGAAAAGGCGGGAAGAAAACAACAATGGTGTTATTTGCACTTATGGATATTTAAAACCTTTCTGTATCTTCTCACTGAATCATCCCAATAAGCCTATGAAGGCCATTTTACAAATGCAGAGACTGAGGCTCAGAGAGGTTCATTAACTTCCTCAAGATCACACAGCTAACAAACAGAAAAGGAACACTTGACTCTAGGCCATTATGACTTCAAAGCCCCATAGCTGCCTGGCACTGTGTCTCCCTTCACTCTCCATCACTTCACCCCCAAATCCCAAACCTGGTAGTGAAAGCAAACTGAGGAAGAAGAGCACAAAAGCAGGAGACCAACTGCTTGCTCTTTCCTTTCTCTTCTTCACCTAAGTAAGTCCAGAGCCTCCAGATTTTGAAGACCTTCTTGACTGAAGATTTTTTCTGGTAAACCATTCCCAAGTATTTGGTATTTCCCAAACTCCATGATTCTAGGAAAAAACATGTATTCTCATTTTCAGACCTGAATTCTCTTGTTTCATAATCCTAAACTTCAGTTCAAGAGGTCAGAGAGTGGTAGTGAACCCCAAATTAGGAAATGTTTCAAGACACTAAGAAAGGCTAAAATATGGTTCCCAATGAAACGCATAAAAGAACTGACCAACCACTGCATCTTTTTTCTCCAGACTTGTACCTCTTTAAAATTAAAAGGCAGTCCCACCTTTTAATTTTAAAATAATTATGAGAACGCGTATTGAGAGTTAGCCATTCTTATTATACAAAACATGTCTGCCAAAAATCCACTTCTGTGTTCTGAGACAAAAATGCATTTTTCTCTTAACTGGCCCTTTCGTATTCCCCTCTCTACAGCGGCTTATCTTTATTTCCAGATGTGTGTACATCTGCCTAGATAGCAGAACTGCTAAAGCTCAGAAAACCTTCATGGAAAACCTTTATTTTTTTCCATGTACTGAGGCTGCACGGTAGCAGGCCAGCTCTCTGTACCAAAACTCCGAACAGTTATGGGGGAAGAGGCTTTGATCCAAGGAGGGGGAGAAGTCCGCCCACAGGGCAGCCGCAGGGTTACAGCCAGGTGGAGGGAGCAACCCCAGGGGACTCACAGAGCCCTAGCTGCTTGTAGTACAGCATCCTAAAATACATCTCTTTGGCATGTTACTTTATCCTGATTTTTTCTAAGGAACAGCAGGCAAGGGGAAAACTCTGAAAACCAAGGAGGAGTTACCCTTCTGTACCCTACAGCATTTACATCTGTAAGGGAAATCTCCATTTGTAAGGGTGTCTGAATCTGTACTCTTATCACTGGAGAAGGCAGTGACTTCAATCTGCATAACAACCTTACCACTGTTTACCCAGCTCTTCCTGGTAACCTCCCACCACTAACTCTCCCATGCTCAAAGCCTTTAGCTGAGGATGGAATTTAAGGTGAGGGCTTTGGCAACTTTGGAGAGTTACTCACGTTTTTCTGGGTCTCTCCCATGTATACCTGTTATTAAACTTTTGTATGATTTTCTCCTCTATTAATCTGTCTCGCATCAATTTAATTCTTACACCACTCTGAAGAACCTAGAAAGGTAGGGAAAATTTTTCTTCCTGCCTGACACACTGCATGGAAGCCAGTTCCCCACATCCTCCTCCATTCTGCTTTTTCCATGTGGTCTGTTACAAGGAAAACCACAGCCACCACGGAGAAGAAAGCCCTCGTTCCAAAGTTCACCATGTAACTTAGGGGCTGAAAATCAGTAGGGAAAGGGCATGGACACTTACTTAGTGGCAACTAAAATTCCTTACATTTTGATTGGACTCAACCAGGATGACTAAGTGTAATTTCAATGCTGCCTCATGCCTATCAGCTCCCAGGCCCCACCTGTTACAGGCCCCTCTCCCTTAGTGGGAGGAGAAAAACCCTGCATCTTGGTGCAGTAAAATCCGACCTGAGGGGTTCTTTCTCCCTCCCACCTCTGCACCCCAGCCAGACGGCAGCCAGGACAGGTGGATAGTAGGTGCCAGGAGGATTTCACTCAAATCTGGCTCTGTAAGTAATAATTCTCCAGGTAAAGATCTTTAACAATTGTTGAAGTAAAAATAAAACCACAATATAATAGTTAATATTTATTAAATATTTACTGTGTGGCTGAACTCAAGCCAAGGGCCTCATATGCATCAATGGGCTCACTGCAACAACATTTTTAGCACCTGACACTGAACTAGTATTACCCCCATTTCACAGATGAGGAAATAAGGCTCAGAGGCCTTGGGTAACTTATCCAAGAACCTTGTCCATCTTGGGTGGACTGCAGAACCCATTTCACAACAAAAAGCCTAAAATTCTGCCAAGCAGATAACGACAAACCTTACTTACCAGTCTCTCTTCCTAAGGTTCCTACCGTCTGTGAAGGTATTCTCAACTATAGCCACCTTACAGTAACTAATATGAAGTTATTAGGCAGAATTAAATCCATTATGAGCCCCAAATCCTCCTTTAACTTTCCACCAGAATTAAACCAAGCAGTGTTTTACTTATTTTAGCCCCTATCAACCTAGGAAATGGGCCAGAAGAAGTTAAATGGGTAAAAGAAAGTAGAAAAGTTTATGTCAGTCACAAACAAGAGTTACTCTGCATACTCACGAAGTAGCTACACTTCCCAGAGCATAACCTCAACGGAAGTAACACTTGCTTTAATACAGATCTCAATTTCAACTGAAATTACCTCATAGGTGCTGTGCTAGGCGGAGGGGATATAAAAGTTAACATGTGACACATGAACCTCGCCTCCAAGGAAGGGGAGACAGATCAGAAAATAAATATATACGATGTAGGAAGAGCACAGTAAAAGCAAATATAAGCTAAAGTTCCAGCCCACAGCGGGCTGTGATGAACTGGGAAGAACAGAGCTCTTACGCTAAGAACACAGGCATGAAACTAAGGCCGGTTAAGACATGAAGCTAAGGCCAGCTTGCACTTTCAAAGAGTGCTACCATCCCTCAAACAGGACCTAACCGCTAGACTCAGCAAAAAATGAAACGGAAAGGAGCCTGTAAGATCTGCCAGCCCGACGCATTATTTTACAGACGGGGATATGGACTTTAGGAGAAGTCAGGTTAATAAATATCCAAGACCACACAGCAAGTTACAGAGACAATTTTACAACTTGTCTCAGGCCTCTTGGTTTACCTACCAATTGATTCATTTGCCAAACATGAACGGGTTATGTGCTAGGTGAGAGTGAACAAAGCAACTGGGTCTGTGCCTTTGAGAAACCGGGAAGACCGTCTTCTTGTATCTGAGACAGGAAGTGCTCCAAGAACACTTGTCTGAGACTGAGGAATTGGGGAGGGCTTCCTGGGGAAGTGACATTTAAACTGAGCCACAAAGGATAAGCAGGAATGGACAAGAGAGGAAGGATGAAGGTGGGGGTGGGAGTAAGGGGTGGTACACAGCTCTGTATGAGACAGGAAGGAGTTGGTCAAGGTCCAGAAACAGAAGAAAAGTAAGTGTGGTCAAGGGAAGAGAGGCAGGAGATGCAGAGAGATGGGGGTGGGGGGGTGGAGAAACTTTCACTCTGTAACCAAAATGACGGCAACCCCGGGACACTGAGTGGCGATCACTCAGTTCGCTGAGTAGTCTCTGTATTTCCACTTTAGGAGAAATCTGAAGCTTGAGAGCCCAGGAGGAAGTCAACAATGCAGGGTCCCAGAATCTGCTGTCTTCAACTTCTTACACGGGGACTTGCCTGACCCTGTGCCACAGGTTGGACACTGGCTGCATGGAGTCCAAAAGGCCCAAGCATCTTCCTAAAGAGAATCTCAGGGCCCCAGGTCACAAAAGCCAGACCAAGAATTCCAAGAAGTCGTGGTGCTGAATGACAAAACCCCCTCAGGGAACTAGGTAAAAGCACATTCCAAGGAAACTGCCTTCATTCAGAATCGAGCTCTGAAAGCCAACAAACAACACAGCCCCTTTCAGACCAGCTGGGACAGAAGGACTTCAGGCCCTGGGGAGGATCAGGGACTCCGCAAGGTGAAGAGGGGTGTAAACAGGTGGTGGGGTAGGACAGATGTGGGCACCATGAGTGCCAGTGTCAGTGTCCCCCAGAGGACACTTCCCAAGCCAGGCTGGTTTCTTTTGTTCTAAGCATCCCAAAGAACACCACCTGCAGTCAGCTTGCCCAGGATAGAAGCCATCCCACCACTTTTTTTTCTTCTGTGTTCAGGTCCCTGAATGAGAGCACCGTCTCCTATGCTTCAGAAACACTTAGTGCCAACAAAGATAAAAAATGCACAGGCCCGGCTCTCCAGCTGACTCCTTCAGCTGGCCTCTCAGTTTCTTTTTTCAGTTACACCGGTAAAAAAAAAAAAAAAAAAAAAGGGTGAAACAGGTAGGTCTTTGGGTATCAAAAGGCCAAAGAATTCATTGCATCATTATGTGTAATAGGCAAAACCTGGAAACAATTACTGTGCTCATCAAAAGGAGAATGGGAGAATAAAAGGTGACACAGTTATATAATGGAACCCTGTGGGCCATGAGAAGGAAAAACTGCTCATACACAAGCACGAGGGCTAACCTCACAAACATAATGGGATGGTAATCTCACAAGCATAACGGCACAAGAGAAGACAGACACAAAAGGGTATATGCTGTATGATTCTATTTTTATAAAGTTTACAAACAAGGGAAACCAACTTCTGGTTCCTTTGGGGAAGACGGACCTGACAGTAAGAGGACTACGAGGGGGCTTCTAGTTGACCTGGGTCGGGGTTACACAGATGTGCTCACTTTGTACTAATTCATCAAGCTGTATACTTAAGATGCTGTGTTTTCGGTACGACTTAATAGACATACAAAAGAAGGGTTTTCAGCATCTTGGAAAGGAAACGTATCCAGGGCCTTAGCTTTGCAGCCCATGGATAGGACTGGAGAATGACCCTCAGGGGTAGAGGGCAAGGTGAAGAGGTGACCACATTGGGGGATATGGCCCAAAAGGCAGCTGTGGGGTGGCAGGGATTAGGGGGAACAGTTTCAAGGTTTACTACCTCCTTCTTCCTTGTAACTAACGGCCAATGAAACCTCTGTACGATGTACTCCAGAGGAAAGTGGGGTCAAGAGAGAAAAGGGCTGGAACTAAACTGGCTTAAAGGAGAAAGGAGGCAGCTGGAATACTTCCAGCAGTGAAGGGAGGAGAAGGAGAGGAAGGAGAGGAAGAAGAGGAAGTAGGGGGACAAGAAAGCAATCGGAAATGCCCAGGATGGACAAGAAAGAGATCTGGCCTGGGGTGGGGATGGTGGGTGGGGGAGGTGAGGATTCCCATGACAGCTCAGTAGAAGGGATCTCTTCTCTACTCCCCTCCCTGAGTCAGCAACGTCAGATATACATCCAGGTTCATGGTTTTATTGCACTTCTCTGCTGTGCTTTGTTTATAAGCCTGTCACCCCTGGGAACTAAAGGAATAAGAGGACTGTAAATGAGTGTGAGTGTGTGTGTGCGCGCGCGCGCGCACCTGCAGCCAAGGATTCCACATTCCCAGCATCTACGCACTGTTTGCATGGAGAAAAGAATGTTCATTGGACAAATAAATGACAGAAAGAATGTGATAATTAGATATAAGTTAGAGATTCCTCAGTACTTAAAAACCTGTAGTAACAGCTTAAATGGCCAAAAATGTGGGAATGGCTAAGTATCAAGAGTGTCATACTGTGCAGCTACTAGAAATCACAAGCAACAGTAGCAAACATCCGTAGGGTGCTTTACAATTTACTGAGAATTGCACCTCCTTTGTTGTTTGACACAAAATGCTATGGACTTTGTTGCCACACTGAAATGTGTAAATGACACATTAGCAACAAGCTCTCTGAAGAGGCCAGAAAGATCTGGGATGGTGGACTAACGAGTTTTCGCGGGGTGAGGAGGGGCCATATCTTAGAGTAATACTAGGAAGGCTGGTAGTTCTGGGGACAGGGGGCGGGGCAGCTGAGTTTAGTTAGCTCTGTCTATATAAATAACTGCTAATTTCACACACTATATTTCAATTCACTTCCTCTTTTTTGTTGTTGTTTGTTTTGAAGAACAAAACTTAACTTTAGCCATAATTTGATTCGAAGTTCTCTTTAACAGTCATTTGCAAGTGTTGCTGTTAAGTGACCATCTCTAAAGAAATGTTTTTGATATTCCATGGTGGGGGGTCCTAGTGTGGTTTTATTCATGCTCTAACTTCAAGAAATTAAACCGCAAAACGTATCTGCAACAGACTTTCCTAGGCTGTCTTCCTGACTGCAACAGTGCTTTAAAGAATAGACAAGAAAAAACTCAAAAAGACAAAACAAACAAAAACCCTTCTTCCCTGAGAGAAGCTGAGCCTAATGTTCAATGATTCACGAAAAAAAATCATGAACTTTTTAACCCTCGGCATTCTCTTCTTCCCCTAGTTGTTACTGTGGAAAATTTATTTTGCAGTTACTGTCCCATAAGTAAGTTCTCTGCTGAGTCTCAAATCTTTGCTGAGCGTTTCCGCACTGCTCTGGGTGGCCTTCCTGCAAGCACCTACCGCAATGAGAGGATTACCTAAAGGATGTATTTCACAAACAATCTATCACGTGTCTTCGGCTGAAATATTATACCCAATGCTAAAAGCCTACTTTTGCAGATGACAGTGGGGACCTCTGGAAAACTCGTTAGAGCATCCCCAAACCAGCTCTTAAAAGACATACCCACGTAAAAAGTAGCTGTTTTTAAAAGTCTGTGGGGCGCTGAAGACAGAGGCATTGGCTGCCGTTACAGTAATAGCAGAAACCCTCCAAGCAATGTCGATCTCGTGAGCAACCCCTTAGGGAGTAGAGTGGCTGACCCGCAGGCAGCGGGGGAGGGCTCCACACATGGCCAAAGAGGGGAAATAATCCTGCTCTCAACACAGCCTGAGAGCAGAGGGGCCAAAGCGCCCACGGTGTTCAGAGAAACCTCCCAAATCCTCCAGGTGCGGAGGACGCAGACGCTCCAGAGGGCTGAAGCTGGAGGCTGGGGGCAGACGAGGACAGCAGAAGACGGGCCTTGGGGGCAGGGAGTCAACCGAGGAGGCGGAAAGAGCGCCAGTCCATTTGCGGAAAGCAAAGCGGGAGCCGCAAGGCGACCTGCCCTCCTCCACACCCACCCGCCGCCCGCGGCTGCTTCCTGGAGGATGTGGGCCCACCTGCAGCCGCCGCCGCGCTGCCCGGGAGCAGCGGCGGGGAAGCGGTGGCGGC